GCACCACCAGCTCTGCTTCGTTCAGCTCCGATGTTGCGAGCAGCATGTCCGAGACCCCAGTGGAAATTTCAAAACTGGAAGCGGAACTGTCTTCGTCCCCCGTTTCTGAGGGGAGCAAGCCTACTTCTGATATCAGCAGACAGACGTCGAGAGATTCCGTGTTAGGTACGCTTACGCGGCCCGTAAGTGTTGCCCAAGCCGCCTCAGAAGCAAAGGCAGCGTTGGGAAACTGGGGTGCAGGTCTGCAGTCTTTCTGGTCCGGCCGCGCTTCACGGTTTTCCATGTCTCGCTCGAGCATTGCGAGTGTAGCATCTACAGATTCGTTATCTAACTCGGGCACAGTACAACTTCCAACATCACCGATATCGCCGCGCCCGAGCGTGGGTACTGTGGAGGAGGAATCGGAACATGATTTGGATCATAAGGAATATGAGTCGCAAGAGCCAGGTGGGATTGCTCTTTGAACTGGTTTTGGACCTCATCACACATAGACCTATGTACTTCATTGCATCGTCATTGCATCGCAGTTACAGTTCGCGCAATGTTTGTAATTAACATGAAGCAAAGATGCAATCAAGCATCCTAACTCGACTGTCACGGCGGTGAAGATAGTAGACCTCCCGAGCTCTTTCCCGACTAGAGGGTACCATTGTCCTTTATAGTTGGTATTTCTACTTTGGTGGCTGTTTTACCCGCTTAACATACCTCCATCTTCACGTGAATGTATATAAAAGTATCATGTCACATTTATATAAAACTTGTCTCCAATTCTGCACTTTGCATGATCGATCGAGCTCGCTGTTGCCCACAGCGAGTGGCTTGGCTGCCGCCACCGGATGGATCATTCATTTTGCTCCGGATCACGAACGTGAGATCAGGTCCACAGATGCGATGATGAGGCCAGATCTTTACTATGTGTACTTGGAGTACATGGATATATAATATTATGACTGCACGGATAGTTGCCTTCCGCCAGTTACTCACACGGATCTTTACCGTATCCGTGTACAACCGTGTAAGTAGTCAAAACTGTCGTCCGCTTGACTGTGCATGCCAAAACAGTTTCAGTTTCTCGGACAGTATTTATATACATTATGGGGACTCTTGCAAGAGGATACTATCAGCAGTATCAGTAGGCATTAGCCTGCGTTAGTGCGACGGTGTACATATGGGCGGCAAACTGCCAGAGTTAGAGCGACCCAATTGCATTGATTCCCATGAATCAAATCTAACTAATGTCAAAGTCCACCAAATTAGTTGCATGACGATCGATCAGACGAAGCAAGCACCTTCGACGTGAAACCTTATAGGACGTGCACCAAAGGCGTTTGGATACAGAGCAACCAACCGATCCAGACAAAGGCCCCAAGGGTCGTACAGAGTTCAAACAGCACAATAACGGGGTTGACGACGCAGCCCAAAACTATATTTCCATCGCACGTCGTCATGACTGGGCGTAAAAATATACCTGAACAATGAATGATGATGCTAAACAAGAGATATGTCAGGCCTACTAGTAATAGTCACGTAAGGTGGTATCACATACGTTAGGTCGTTGTGATGGGTGCTCAGCAACGTTGTGACATATGCTACGCGGTATCCAGATGATGGTCTCCATGAAGAATACAACTGTTCGGAAGTTTTATCATCAGCATCTAAGTAGGGTACATACCTGCAGAAATAGTGCTCTTTATCCTGGAGATAAGCAATGACTCAGTGCCGACTTGCGCGTCTGCCTCACCTGAAGAAAAAGTCGAGGGAGAAGCTGGTGGCAAAAAATGCTTGTTCCATAGATCCGCTGGACTGCACAGTATGCAGTTCTATGCTTGGTTATGGATTGATATCAGCGCATGCCATTCGAGGAAACTCACGATATAACTTTAAATCAATGATTTACTTTATATCGTGAGTTTCTTCGAATGGCGTGTGCTGAATCATGATGAAACTCAGGCGTGTCTCGTACGCAAACTGCCAACCGTGTGACCATAACGTTAAAAAGGCCCTTTCAACCAAGGTACTGTAATTATTCAATGGTCCCCAGCCAAGACGCGTCGAACGTCAAAGCCAAAGGTTTGCAATTGTAAGTCAACGATAGATGACAATGCGAATGATTGATATGTAGCTTATGTAATCTACTTGAGTTTCTAATTCCAATGTGGTCGACTCGGAGTTTTTGAACGTTCTGAACATTGAAGCAACTGCTTGAGCCCAGCCTTGCAAGAGTTGCGGAAGCTGGCCTTGTCGATCAAGAGTTGATACATGACTACACCAATCCGCAAGAAGCGCAACTTCAAGGCTTTGCAGCTTGATGTGCCCGCGAAACCAAAGGAACCAGAGCCAGTCCCCACAAGGGTTGCTCCCGCAACTACAGCGGCGAAGGGCAAGAAACGACCTCCGCCTATGACACTCAACGCCCCGAAACTGGGAGTATCTAATGCCGTTCAGGATCCAGACGGAAATCTTGCGAACGCAGCAGGCGCGCCTACTTGTACCATTCCCTCAGCTTCTGCGAATACGCGGAGAAATACATACCACACTACCCTTTCGAACACGCTAGCAAACCTTGATATGAATGCCGAGACGCGTTACGATCTTCGTAATGAGGATCTGAAAGACCTTCAGGAGCTTGGCCAAGGCAACGGCGGGAGCGTCAAAAAGGTAGAACATACACCCACTAACACCATCATGGCCAAGAAGGCAAGTATATTAATGTGTCAGATCTCTATGTCTTTTCAACTGTTACTTCTAGATTGTTCTCATTGATGCGAAGCCTTCCGTGCGGAAGCAGATTCTCCGCGAACTTCACATTATGCATGATTGTCATTCGCCATACATCATCTCATTCTATGGCGCATTTCTTTCTGATCCAAATATCTGCATTTGCATGGAGTTCATGGACAAGGGTTCGCTTGATGGAATTTACAAGAAAATCGGTGCTATCGACATCGAGGTCGTCTCCAAAGTTGCGCTGGCCGTGCTCGAAGGCTTGACCTATCTGTATGACGTACACCGAATTATTCATCGCGGTGAGCTTAAACACGGACAGCCTTGGTTTTTTCATCGAGGCTGACAGTCGCGTCAGATATCAAACCGTCGAATATCTTGTGCAACTCGCAAGGTCAAATCAAGATATGCGACTTTGGTGTTTCCGGTGAACTCATAAATTCCATCGCCGATACCTTCGTAGGAACCTCAACCTATATGAGTGTGCGTCTGTATTTCTTGCGTCTTCTTTACCAAATCTATAAGGCTATCCCAAACAGCCCGAGCGGATACAAGGTGCACAGTACACCGTCAAGTCCGATGTGTGGTCTTTGGGTATTTCTCTCATAGAACTTGCCCTAGGGCGGTTCCCCTTTGCCGATTCAGATCCGGATGACTCAGACCTTTCCGACTTTGAAGGTACTTTGTCGCCTGGTTCCATCGGACTTCCACCGAAGAAAGAGAAAGACAAGACGTCAAAAAAGGACAAGCGGAAGAGTAGGGGTGTCAGCCTACAGGGAGGTGGAATGATGATGAGCATATTGGAACTGCTCCAGCATATCGTTAATGAACCTGCCCCACGACTGACACCAGAAGGGCGTTTCCCTCAGGAAGCAGAAGATTTCGTCGATAGCTGTCTGCTCAAGGACCCTGATGCGCGGAACACGCCAAAGGATCTTTTGGTACTCCCTTCTTATTTGTGGCATCCGTCGTGTCCTTCTGACTGTGACACCCCAGAAACATTCTTGGATAGACAGTGCCAGAGCATCAAGGTTCGATCTTGAGGTTTGGGCGAACACATTTTGAGTCCATTGTGCGGTTCCCCTTGTATATCTCACATACCCCCTTATCCGCCCTCCCACGTCATATTAATTCATCCCTGCTGCCATTGCTCTGATTGCACATTTCATCCTCGCGCGCGGTCTGTATTATAGAAAACCATGGAATAATATTCCTTCAGACAACTCGATGATTGGAAGCATGCATCATCTATTTTGCGCCAAGTACGTGCTCGGAGGCGATGTTTCATCGTTCACATTTCCAGACTGAGAAGACCCCTCATCTGCGCTGTGCGATGCTTTTCTCACACCGCTATGTAATACCCGTGCTTCCTATGCCAGTGATGACTTGTCAGTCATAACAGCACCAATATTCCACTGTCTGGTTCCCATTTTCTGTGCACGATCGGCGGGTTTCGAAGTGCCCTGAACATTGCTTGCCACATCCTGACCAAGTACCACTGCACCAGACAGTGTCGCCCGTCAGTGAGCCGGGAGTGGCTCGTGCGCTCAGAGAACTGACGGCTGTTAATGCTAGGAGACTGATCGTAAAGAGATTCATCTAGGTCATTCGGCGTCGTAAGCTGGTTCTACAGGTTGGTGACTAATAACCCTTACCGTCAAAAAACCACCTATAGTTAAATCACGGGTTTGTTGTTCGCCGGTGCCAGCGCTTACGGTTTGCCTGTCAGCATCTGATATAAGTAGCTGCTGCTTATAATTAATCTGAAAACAGCATTTGCGCCAGAACCACCCCCTGAGAAGAATGGAAGCTCTTTTGACAGCCCAATCATGTCCCCTGAGACGGGGTGTGATGATTTAACACACAAAAGATGACTTCTAGTTTCGGGTGGCACCCGGTTGTGGCACCATTATATATGATGGGCCTTCTTGAAATAAAGTTTACATTGCAGCAGTTTCACTGTGGAGTGCAGCACGTCGATTCAGTTGGAGGCAATGTACGGCATGTACCATGAGGCTCTCTCCGCATGTCAAATATTACGATACACCAATTTCCTCTTCATACTTGCACTGCCAGGGAGGACTCCTGAGTGCTTCTGGATTGAAACTCTCAAATTTGTAGTGGCGTCCGGTGCATATGACCCTGAAGGCCGCATGCGTCAGGGCCGGACAACAGGTTCAAACGTTCGATAATTCCACGATCGAAGGCCGTCACAAGTAGAGGCGATTGGAGCATTTCCCGAGACTCACAGAATGCACGGTCGAAACACAAAAACTGGTACCGACTTAAACGTGTGGTCACATTATTAATACAATCATAAAGCGAGTTATGGAAGTCTCGGAATATTACAGGGCATAAACTCACTCAAACAGCGTAACGCTAATAATATCCCTCAGGGTATTCGTGTTACGGGTTCGAAAGGTTTCTATCGTATGGAAGTCCGGTCGTCGTCATCATCATACATAAACCACTTGATCGTGGAGGTATATCGCTCGTGGCGTGTATTTCAAGGGTGCGTAGTCCATACGCTCCTCAACGGATGAATGAAATTTGGGATGCTGGTAGGGAATAACGCGACCTTTACCCAGATGGCAGCTGTCACCTAGAATTAAATAAGTTCCTCGCAGCGACAAGTAGCTCACCTCCATTTCTTGTGCCATTTGCCATGCGCATCTTGCCATGCCCATGGAAGGGGCAAGATTTCAAGAAGCCACCAAGCCTTCTGAAGCTGCAACTGGTCGAACAAAGGAGCTAGAGCATCGCAAGTTTCAGGATTTGGAGGTGAGGGTGTAGTGGGGGGACCGGTGGAAGAGCTAGAAGGGGCGGGTGAGGGTACGGCTTCTACGAAAGAGGACACAACATCGATAGACACAGCACTGAGACGGGAGTTGTCCATCATCAGTTGTGACTTGCCGGTCGGATCCTCAGTAGCAGGAGGCGTTTGCGAAGTAGGAAAGCTTGATAATGGCATGCCAGCGCGCTCAAGAGCTTCTTCATCAAAAAAGATGCCACAGTTAGACAGGATGACCTGCTCAACCATCCAGCGAAGAGTGATTTGCGCCAACGAGACTTTGACAGAGTTCTCAACACTTCCGCCACCTATGTCTGCTCATACTGTGTTCAAACAGAATTTCCAAGAACAAAACTTGTGGACGCTCACCACTATGACATCCCGAGAACCAGACTTCCATAACATCTGTTGGCAGTGTCGGCTCTGTGTCAGGAATGTCGAGCACTTCCACACTTGTCTGGTCCTTGACGATGATGATTTCCCCAGGCTTATCAATAATAATCTCGGTTGTGCTTTGCTGGCGCAAGATTATCTTGGTGAAACCACGCTTCAGTCCTTGAAACCTCTTCTTCCCCGCGAACTTCTTCGCACGTTTCATACCTCGAAGGAGTTCATTCTGAGATGAACCAATTTCATCGGAAACATTGTCTTCCAAAGCTGTAACAACTTCAAATAACCTTGACATCTCGACAAATTCCGGATCAGGTGTATCTGTGTGGGGCCGACGGTAAAGTTCTGGCAGGAATTTAACGCGGTGCTATTGAAGATAGTCAGCACCAAGTTAAGCGGGTAATGGGCTTAATAGACCTCGTCGAGAGCCAAAGCGTGTCGAAATGTCTTGATCAAGGAATTAGAGTCTGCGAATGGGAGTGTCTGACTCCAGAGCACTCCAGTGCTTTGTACGGTCTCCCTGAAAACAAAAACAAAAGTTGGTTGTGGGTGGCTGGACATACTAGGAACTACTTACCAGACTCCTACGAACTCCACTTTGACGTCACGCGAAAATGTCTGCTTAAATCCTGCAGCAAGCGCATCTGCTTGTACGCCAGTCGTCTTATATGCATCGTAGGCAAAGCTAATTTGTTGGAGGTCGGATTTTGGAAGCAGTCCAACCTGTGATGAAGTCTTATTAAGGAAAGCAGCTCACATCTATGATCAACAATAACTGACCTTGTACAACATTCCCGCCAACGCACGTGCGGTATATGCTCCTCGGGAAAAACCTGCCTTGAGTTCAGTGAAATCTGTCGTACTGCCAAGGCAAATGTCTCACCGAAAAGACAAATCTTATCACCAGGCAGGTAGTTATCCATCAAGAATCTGTAACCTTCCATGACATGGGCGTCCAGATACCTGCATATACTCAAGCAACGTCGACCTTTATTTCAGTCTACCGTACTCACCACGCAAATGCCTCATCCAACATCTTCGCGAGCCAAATGAACATGGGGGATACCACTCCAGGAGAAAAATACGTCCCAACACCAGCCTGAATAATAAGAGTGGATTTGAGTTCCCTTGCTGCGACTCGCGATCACATAGTGCAGTCGCTGGAGTTTATCCGTGTACGTACCTGGTAATAGCAGAGTTGGCTATCCGTCTCTTTCTTTAATAATGAGACGAACTTGACGACATTCGTATTCTAAGGGTGTGCCATTAGTATCTGTATTCGCGATTGTATATGATTTTTGGAGCCTCACCGACGCATTGTAAAGCCCTGCGGTACCGTCAAAGCATGCAACCAGAATCTTCGGCTTCCTCGATACCTGGCTTCCGCCAGTGTTTGACATGATATCGAGCGGTCACGAACGAGAAAGTGGGAATATGCGTTCTATGGGGGTGGGGGTGATGTGGTGGCTGACAGTGGTAGGAATACTCTACCAAAATTTACGCAGGGGTGTTATCAACTCGGAGGGGAACGTGAAATCTAAACCGAAACGAGACGGCTTGATTTTTGTAGCCTCCGGGGGAGGGGGCACAGGTGTACCAATCTGGTGTTCGGGGTTTTTCTGATCGGATGGTCCTAGTTGAAACGGTATATGTATCAGAAGCAGGAGCCTCTAACATCATCATATCGATTTGCTTGTGATCCACAGCTGCCCATTGGCTCGAAATCAGATATAATGGTAGGTTCTGGTAAATACGTAAAGTAGCACTAGTCAATAAATGTCATGGGCGCTAGGCTCGGGCCGGCACAGAGAGAACAGCGGAGTTGACTGTTCGCTTCAAAGTCCGGGATGTTTCAAATTGCTCCACTCAGTCGATAGTCTATCATGTTCCAAGCCTCGTGTAGTCCTCGTGTAGGCGCGACTCAATTTTGCGCCTTTCTGCCCCATATAACACTCCTGTTTCACAACCTGACTCACGCACACAGACAAATACGGCTCACTGGGAGGCGCTTGTACCAACCTTTCCTTGGCCTTGGAACTGACAGTTCTCTTCGTCAGATGATCAGCCCCAGATCAGGCATGGCGGAACTATGTCATGTGAGAGCACAATCTATATCTGGAACTTTGAGAAGCTAGTTACATTTGTCTAAGAGAAAATGGGGTACTTCCAGTGCCACTATCACCGAACGATGCCAGATCGGGCTTTCGACTATGCGGAGTGCTGTTTCCTGATCATCGCAAGTTCCTCAAGTAGCGTGCGGTGCCGATATGCTAGTCGAAGATTTGGCACGTTTGTCTGTCGTCGGTGAATACATAAATAGGTCGAGTATATGGAAATAGCTCGCTTACCTTATGAATATCATTGCCTGCAGCGCCTGGTAAGTACCACTCTTGACCGAGCCAATGTCTTTTGATCTCCATCTCAAAGCCACTTTGGATCACAGAGTTGCGAGCGAGCTCTGCTAGTGAACTTTGAGGAAGCTTGTAGATCTGTCATGTAGGTAAGCCACTGGATTGGTAATCGGTAAAAATATTACATGGGCTGCGACACTGTACTCTTCTAGTAGCGGTTCCTGTTACCACGATGTCCGAGTGAGCGAACAACAACGGTGTATCAGAGTTGGGGGTTCACCTTCGTAAAATGGAATTGCAATGGGTCATCGGTGCTTAAACTCACATTCAACCCGACTTTGAAAAAGTCAGGAAGTGGATTGCGCTCATAGGTCAGGAACAGCGCATTGTTACTCAAGGGACTCATAGCTAGCCCAATTTGTTTCAGGTAGAATAAGTACTGCAACGCGGGAACTTTGCGAAGCAGAATTCCATGTGAAATCGAGTGAGATGTAAGAAAGGCTGCGGTCAGGTGATCCGTGTCTCCTGCTTCACCAGCGTGAGGCCGGAATACGAACGTGTCTGCGTGGCAGTTAATTTCACTGGTTTAAACTTAAAAGGCAACGACACAAAAGAAACTCACTGAACCCTCGTGCTTTACGCCAGTGGTTCAAGCTAGCTGTATTTGCATACATATAGTACATCCTGTGACCGTGGTTATCCGATATTCAATTGACGAATAACAAATAGTAGATAAGTGCTTACTCACCAATAAGAAAACGGAGGATTCTGCTGGGAGTCCCAGAGTCGAGGAAAGGGGAATTTGCGGTGGAATCGACGTTCCGCCTTAGATTCGTCGTCCACGCTGTCGAAGCCGACGACACGTTGCAAAAATACATGAAGCTCTGGGTGCGACTGAGGATCCTTTGTGACCTCAAAGAGCGGGCGGAAGACATCTATAATCGCAGTACATTGTTGAGATGGATGAAATCATGGAACAAGAAAAACTTACTGATGACAATTTCCTCAAATGTGTCGATTGCGCCAGTCTCCTTGTATACTTGATACAGTCGAGGAACTTGAATGAGCCAGCGAACGTTGTGTGAGAAGAGTTCATTTTTGATGATCCATTTCGCAAGCTTGTCCCACTCATCCACGGATCTACCGTAAATACTGACACGCCATTCGCAGTTCTAAGGATATGGTAAATATTCCGAGGGTCACAGATGGGGCATTCGCACCTGGTATTTACTCTGCTCCACGTCATTCATGACCTCTGTGACATGTCAGATTGATGCGGGAAGAGCATCATAAAGCACACCTCTGGTGATCTCAGCGAAGTATCTACCATCTATCTTATTATCGATTTTCAGGAAAATTTCTCTCAGCCTGGACTCGCCGATTGGATTGTACTTCAGGTTAAATTTATCGAATCGATGGAAGGAATCTTGGTGGGCATGCATATCGAGCGTATTGATGGACAGATCGTATGCGCTCAGCTTAAGCGACTGAAACACTTGTTCCAGCGTCAAGTCTGTCCCATCACGGAAAATAACAACGTCCTAAAGTGGCGAAACGTCTGAGCAGTTGATGTAACACAGGTGAATTTATACAAACATGAGGGCTACGTTTCATCTTGGATTTGATGAACCGCAAGAGGTGCTTCTGATTCATGCAACTTGCTAGATGGACGTGCGTGTCCACCTTTCGCACATTGTAGAAGTCCCTTAAATCACTTAAATCAGTCTATCACCTTGTATGTACAACGGAGGAAGCACCTGTGCGGCACACTCTGCAGACGAATACTTCATAAATGTTTGGAATGGATTTCGGTAGTTTTCACGCACCTTCATGTCAGCTAATTCCTGAGATTCGTTTAAGAGACTGTACATCTCGAATTTGCTCGCAAGATACTTGAGCCTACGATATGCCATGCTTTTCGCCGGACCATCGGAGATAACACCCAGGACATAGTCTAGATCAACGAAGTACTCCCTGATAGTGGGTATATCGAAGAGTGGTTTCTTGGTTCCTGCTGGGAACAAGATTGAATCGAACTCCTCTGGCAGAAAGGGAGCAAAATTACCATCAGCATTCGTGTATACTTGATACACGCCTTTGTCATCTATTTCAAACACCCATTCGTGATTACTGGGTATTTGGCATTGAGAGAAGTCGAATTCGTTGTCCGGTGTGAGGCGACCATCTGCGCTAATGACGGTTTCTTTTGCAGTAAAGTGCCAGTGAGGTGGAGGTGGAGGAGGATATATGACCCAGGGCTCGTGAGGGCTATTCGCGGATGCAGCTGAAGATTGGTTAACATCGGGTTTGACCCCAGAAACATCCGCCAGGCCCTCAGTCACGCCATGAAAGACACCGTCGTGGTCTCTGGGGTTATCCCCCAGCCTCTGTAAAGATTTCGTGATATATTTGTCGCGAAGTTCAAGGCATTTCTGAAAAGACTGGACAACACGTGCAAGCTCTGGAGTCATCATGGCGTCCACTGTAGAGACATATAACCCTGAGGGGCCAGATTAGACACGTCAAATAAAGACGAACTGTGGTGCTGAGCATCCGAAACCTGTTCTTTATCTTCATCGTCAGAGAAAGGTGACGGGTGCAACTCTTCAGTCGTTTGAATTTGAAGGGCTTCACGAATGGAAGACAACTTGAAACTGTTGGATAGTGTACTATCTGCCTGAGGATGCGCGACGTCGGAAGCGCGTCGTTGAGCCCATTTTTGTTCCTCCATCTGATTATTTCAATAATATTATAAGAGCTCAATGCATGTCTATCGGAAAACACGTTCTCACTTGTTGGAGGCTCTTTTCATCGGTATAACCATAAAATCCATCTCTGGTTTCCGGGATAATCAAGCCAGAGCTCGATTCGACGACAAAATTTGTTGCTGGGGTGAGTGGCAAGGTAGGAGATCCATTTCCACTCATATTTGGAATCTTCAGTAAGAATATTTGGTTATGTGAACGTGATGGTTTTACTTAGAGTGCAATGATGGCATTCAAAGTTATTTATATTATATATTATTGTTATCGGGACTTATCCCTTCGATAATAAATATTGTAACCTCTTCTTGACACCATCGAGCTCAATAATTGCAACGAGGACGAAAACGACGTCTTCAACGACGAACAAGGACGGACATCATCGTGAGATGGGAAATACTGCATCAAACACCAGTCAAAGTTCACGCTCACCTGTCCCGAGCAGAAGAATTGACTCATCTGCACGCCGACAAGCCCCATCACATTCACCATCACCCAATCCCCATCAACCCCATCGCTCGTTACGGACAAAGAAAAAATCGCTCGAACTTCCTGATCTTGCCTCTCTCTCGCTGACACCAGCAGCATCATATCACAACTCTGGGAATTCTTCCCCCTTATCACCTTACCGTCGACCACTGAGAACTACTTCCCCAATCCCGATTCCGAATCCTGCTTTTAACAATGGAACAATGAATAATGCCTCAAATACAGGCACTTCCCCTCGCGGACGTCGGCCGGATTTGAAAACCGCAAACAGAGTTACTGATACGGGAAACTACTCCGCAGAACTACTCTTAGATCACCCTCCATCCACGCATATCCCAGTGCATCATAACCCTCGCACGCGAGGGAGCCCTTACTTCAGAGGCGCACCTTTGCAATATAATTCCACTCATTCTTTTCCTGTGCGCGGTCAGTCTGCTCAGCCTCGTATGCAAGAACTCTATGCCGAAAGTGAGATTGAGGCATCTGAGCAACCTGATCCATCTGGCTTCGTCCAGGAGACCGTCCATTCAACTATCCCGCTTGCCCTTCACAAAGCGGAGGAGGAGATGGCCATATCGGCAAATGCTGATACCGACGGGGAGAACGGCCAACTGAAGAATCGACCAGATCAATCACATGAGGAACCAAAAGAACCCGTCTCTGTGAAGATTACATGGAATGGGGGTGGGAAAAGTGTTGTCTTGGTTCGTGCTGGAGACGATGATTGGAAAGGTCGTCTGCCTATGGAGCCCGAGTACGTCGTCTCCTTTGTATCCTTTGTCCTTTTGTTAATAGCTTGTGATAGCGATCCATCGAGCGACAAATCATGGTCCGCATGGGTACCGCTCTTGCCTGGTACTCATCATATTCGATTCATCGTTGATGAACAGTGGCGGGTAGCAGATGACTTGCCAACTGCCGTTGATGATGAAGGTAGTCTTGCAAATTACGTTGCTGTTCCTATCTCCGGGTTGACTCCACCCCACGTGTCGTCTGTTGCCCCTGCTACACCGGGGCGCCCTCCACACCCTCATGCGCACTCCTTCTGGTCAACAACAAGCTCTACTCACGGCTCCATTATGGATACAAGCGATTCAAAGGGTACGCTTGCAAAGTGGACCGATGATATCCCCGCAGGGCTTATAGCAGCTGCTCGGGAGGAAGAAGCCTACCTAGCGTACACAGCCGGTCCCGAGTACGATCAGACCCCTTATCAATATGTCCCTACTCCCAACATTCCACCTGCGCCCGGACTGCCACGACATCTTGATAAACTGATACTGAATGCGAAACCCGGGCAGTCTCCCGCAGGTAACAGGGGCAGGGAACGTGATCGGGAACGTGAACGTGAAAGGGAGCGCGAAAGCAAACGACGACAAGGACGATCCCTTTTGGGGATGACGAGCACTGTTGCTCGTGAACTTCACAAGGAGGAGAGGACAGAACTAGAAGCTCCTGCAATTCCTATCACTACGGCAAGCGGCACGGATGTAACCAGTGTGCATTTGGCAGCCCCTGCGCATACTCGGTTGGGTCTTGATGGTCCTGGGCTCAGCGATGATGCTAGCGTTCTTCCTGTTCCATCTCATGTTGTCCTGCACCACTTGAGCACCAGTGCAATTCGCAATGGTGTTTTGGCCGTGGGTAATACCACACGATATCGCACGAAGGTTTACATTTTCGTATCATAGCATCCATCACGATTACTGACCATGAAACCGCAGTATCTCACGACCATCTATTATAAACCTACATGACGATTTTCGATTTATCTTGCCTTTCCGGCTGGTACAGTTGCATTTGTGCAATCAGGAGATCGGCCTGAATGTGGCACAATAATTCGACAATTTTTAGATCCTCGGTCTGCTATCTCGACGGCCTCCGAAGGCCTTGTGTTGAGGTATCATCATCACACGCAATTGTTGATCCATTTTCGCTATTTTCTTTTCTTTTCTGAAGCTGGCTCTTTATATCTTCTACTGCTCTTTTGTGATGACCGCTTGTACGACGCTCTATATTGCTGCACCACGACAGACCAGACATACATGATGGACTAACCTAGCTACGATCTCAACATATTAGAATACCCACCAAAATGTATCTTCCGTATGTCTGGAAAATTGTAAATACAGTTGGATTATCTACTACTGGGATAAAGCAGCTTCCTCGATATGCCTAATTATAGTATATCACTCGTCAATAATAAACTAGACGAAATAAACTGTCAATTCAGTCGCTGGGGCAGCCCACCAATTCCGAAGTTGCCATGAAAATTATCAAACCTTCTTCGTGAGTACTACGCCGTTTTCCTTTTCTCGCACACTGCTTTCTAGAACAGCTCGCAGAGCACCGCGTCACTAGTCGTTGTTTGTTGCGGTACATATAGAAATTCTTATTCTAAAACTTTCTACTTGGGTTCGGCCCTGGCTGCGATGTCGATCTCGGGGAAGCACGGAGTTTGAATATTTGCAGTTGCCGATTGTGCCGCTTGGCTTCAAACTACACTTGAGTCATACCGTATGGTCCGATACCACCCCTTCACATAGCACACGAACTAGATCATTAAAATGATACTATATTCTGCAGTACTTTTGCCGCAGATGCTTGCACTATAGGCCCATCAGCCGTCTGAACCTCTCAGGGTATGTCAACGGTTAACGTTCAACCATCGTGGCGTCAGTGAAGACGAAACCACCCTGGAAATAGTTATGATGACATACATCAATGACACGGTAATAAACTCACTTCTCTGCTCCGTCTCGCGAAAACAATGAGCAGTCTTGAGTATACCGACACAGTCGGCAACTGCAAATTTCAAACTCCATGCTTTGTCTGCCGAGATCGACCGTCATCTGCGCACGGCAGAATGGTTATGAGTCTATTCGGACTTTCACCTTGCAATTGCTCCGCGGCATGTAGTTTCCTCGTGGCAATTTGTTAGTGAGGCGAGTAAACACAATATTTTGATCCAGCGAACACGGATTGAATATTGAATATCAGATCTGTGTAAGATAGAATGAAATAATCATGTGATTATTTTTATGACCATGTGGAAATCCTGTACAAAAATAAACTATTTCATATTACATAATATCCAATTTTCCGAGAAAATTATTTGCCGCACCTTGCTTCCAAGAAGTCGTTGAGCATAGGGGGATAGATATCGGTACCAGCCGCTCAATGAAGAGGGGATTTGATCATAGCGAAATAAAATTCGCAGCATAGCATGCATCCTGGTCAGTTTTCCCAACAGCGACACTCCATACCGTTATCTTGTACTCACTCTTTCCCATATTGGCAATCGCCTTGGTTTCTACTCCCACCACGTATTGTCCAGTGGGGCGTATTCTCGTCACCGTTGAACGTTGGAGTGCGGCGGAGCTTACTATCGATGAATCTAAAATTCATTCATGATTGCCTCCGATTTCGAAGACTGTCAGGACCCGGTCACTGGTTTATTCCTGAAATATCAATGTTTGGCTTGGACAAATCAAAGCGTGCGCGGAGTTCCTTGTACGTCGGCATCGGGGGCTGCGGCAACATATGTGGCATATGCGTCCGGAGGAAAAAGAGTTCGAATAGAGGAGCCACACATTATCGTATCGAGAGCCTGAAGATGGCCATATCGTCCTCGCACAAGCCAAGACATTGTACAACATAAACATCACATTACGGACACAGATACATGCAGAACGCGTACCTGGTCCATGTTGTCGGTGCTGTCCACCATAGGGCTTGGCCCTAGCGGATAATACCACCAAGGATCAAAAAATGACAGCACACTGATGGAGCTGCCTGATGTCCTTTTTTGCGTCGTTATGTGAGCATCTAATGTTTTTTTGACTGTTAGAGCCGAGAGTGCCTTTACTTGTGGGTGCTAGTCATGGCGCAGCGGCTTCGCTCGTCGACGCGTCATCGATCATCATTCGGCAGCGGCTCCATCGGCCAATTGTGATATGAGCTAAGTGGAAATTGGGTCTTACTCGCTATCACAGGATTTTGTCTACAAGAGCACACTTGGCTTCCCGAAACCAAACCAATCACAATATTCCAAAGGTCTCGGTCAAAATCACATTCACCATCGGCGGCCGTCGCATCATTGTTGACCCTTCTCTAACCAGACTTCTCGAACATTGTCGCCTATTTCAGTAAGAAATCGGGCATTGCTTTCGAGATTTGTTTTGTTTTCCACTGTGGCTGTAAGTCCATGTGCCTTGGGTCAATTATGAAAGACACTTACGTGCTGAATGACATGAGCATAGCATCACGGAGTTTCGAAAGTCCATATGTGCCTTCCCAAATTCGATTTACTCAGAGCAAGCAAAGCCCCGAAGTGTGTGTGTCTCAAAAATGAATGTGGACAGCCAAACGATCGACGAAAATCGGGGTTCGAATGTGGCTGGTGGGTGCTGCGGACTCCGAGAATTGCCCGGGCTAACCTACGGCTCCGATCTAGCTAACGTTAGTACATAGTTGATCATCCAATGTGCATAACTGGTGACCGCTGCATAGCCTTGGATGCGACACATTTGTCCCTTTTTCATGATGATCATCCCATCAATGACAATACACGTGTCAGCTGATATTTCTACCAAGTAACTCCCGAGTCGCTGACTTCATTAATGCGTTTTCGCTGTGGTAAAATGCAGGAGTAATTATGCTGGAATTAATGCTTCTCGCCTATTATGACATCATATTTCGGTATCTTGCCGACTCCGAGCCCGAGTCGGTCGCTATATAATCACAGGCGGATTGTAAGTCTTGAGAGTAATACTAACACGAAAAACTTTAAACCTGCGCAACGTGCAGCACTGATGTATAGTTCGTAAAAGCACTTGATAGACCTGTCATCAAACATCAGTTGACTCACCACGGTCCGATTCAATCTAATCAAACCTTGCGCTGGTAGTATAATCGGTGGGCCGCCTGAAAAATAAGCCATCTAGATCTGGACCCGCGCTATGAGGTTGAAATGAGATTCCTAAGCTTGGACTTCGCTTGATAGTCCAAAAAAAACCGAGTTTACGAAACTTGCGTGGCGGGGTAGAGGATGTTATAAAAGCAGGCTTCTAAATCCACCTGTAGACTTCACCCAACTGTGCGATTGCAACTATGCATCTCTACCGCGGTGCGCAAAGCTACCAACGTCCTCCGAAGCAAAGCAAAATTGCATCGCAGAGGCAGTATCGGGTCAAAGAGGGCGACGGGTTTCAAGAACTTAAAGACGTGATCCGCTCGGTGACAGGGGAGACTCCCCAGACCAGGCGCGAAACCTTGAAGAAAGGTAGGCTTGCTTCACAACACGTTCTGCTTGCATGATCGCTTATCCCCTTCACAGCTGCACAACTCCTGCAGGATTTATCGAGAGAACATGGGGCAATTTCTAGGCATGAGCCGCTCCCGCCCTTGGAATACTCGTCAGCATCACCCTATGAAGCTGACCAGGTATCTCACACGACTTATGGTACGCGTTTTCAGCTCGTCGGCGACAGGATCTCATAGACAACCCTAGAACCTCTTGTGATTCCCAACAACGAGACATGGACAAACGCTCTTGCGTCAAGGACAAGGAACAGTAGCCCAATGTCAGACACATCGGTGACGAGCTCAATGCTAGAGTATCAAGGCCACCCTCAGACAGAGATCCACCATGTTATCGGTGGTGGGGACAACTGGAGTTTGGTTCAACCAACCCCTTCGCAGTTTCGACACAATTCGTTCCCCGGACAGTGGAACGACATGTCGCTCATTCACTCGAACATAGATCGAGTTCCATACTACTTAGGAAGGGTAGAAATAAATTAGGTTATATATCGGAATTCGAGGAATCCTTGAATATTTTGAGTACTTGTAGCATCCATGATCTATTACTTTTACAGATTCACCTACCTTGTAGCTTCTAGTCGACGTATTTATTAGACCCATATACCCTTGGCATATACCCAACGAGAGGACGGCAAAACCGTTCGATATCCTGGATGCTCCATGACAAAATAAGCCACTATACTCGCATCAGTCACAATATCCACATGCAAAAATAGTGCGTACTATATCGGTAATCCAAACGTATCAGCTGAGATCTTATCCATATCAGTTTGAGGCACGCAGAAAATACTGTGGAATACATAGTGAGAGTTTGTGTGCGCGTCCTTACCAAAGGAGTGTCAAAAATGACATAAGTTAAGATCGTTAACCTCACTCTAATCTGCGAACGTAACATGATCACCGCGGTGTTCTTGTTGCAACAATCATCTTTCGAAAATACATCCCGAGAAGTGCGAAATGCAAGCGCGCGACTGCTGCCGCCAACACATAACGAAGAACAAACCGTGTGCATTTGGATGATAGAGCGGAATTATGCAGGGGAAATGGGGCGATGTCCAAAGTTAAGGCAACGTAAGATGACTGCAGCCCAGGGCACGACGAATCACGGGTTGTGTTGGGATGTATTGATACCCCTTGCTGTCAACCCATTGCAGGGGCCATTCCATAAGATGGTTGAGAGCAGATGAGTCGTCTAGCAACCAACCGCATTGAATAGCATCACCTCAGGGCCCTATCACGATGATGGTGCATTAGTGGAAACATACAACAGACGCCTCCAACACCGTGACAACAGGGAACGTAGACTTGGGATCAAAACCTGCGATGACGAGACTTCGTCTGGCCTTGTGTATAGGAAACCATCTTCGAAAGGTCAGACAGCCGCCCGTTTGTAGAAGGCGACCGATCAAGTACGATTTTTGATCCAGAATCAAAAACACCCATGCACACGTGGAGCGACGATTTTTGATTTTCGACAATTAGAGCGTGAACCCAACAAGCGGACGAGACTAGCTGATCCGGAAAGAATGGAAATCGAGAAGAACCGATCACTGGATCAGTAGAAAAGTTAAAATCACGTGGTGTTACTGGGTTTTGCCGGCGAACTTCAAGTTGCAAGTCTCTTTGGTAAAACTTGGCACAAACCAGAGGGTACTACAGAATAAAACTGTTACAATGCATGTGGTACAACAAGGTTTGCTCAGCCCGACGCCGCAAACCGATGTATGATGGTGGTTTAAACTTTCAGCTCTGTCACATCAGTGGTAGATCAAATCTTCAGAATGAGTCAAACAGAGTTCGTTGCACAGGCGAGTGCCAATTCAGGAATTCACCGTACATATGCGGGATAGTAAACCGAAAGCTCGGCTCTGTCAGTGTATAGGGTAAGTCACGGTAGCAACATCGACTGATTATTTCTTGCCTTGGCACCACAACTTGAACGTTGTTCGATTTACAACTTGCAAGTCGCAATCAAAGTGAATGCACCTCACAGGACAATCTGGTCGCTTGCGGATGTGAAGTTGCTTTTTGACAACGAGGGTACGAATGCATGCACTCTACTTCGAACGCTTGCCTGCACATACTAAAGAGAGATGCTGCCGCACCTACCCTCACGTGATGATGTCCTTTCTATTGAAAATTTTAATGTTCACTCTGATCTCAAGATTCAGAGTTATTTACCCAAAATCATGGAGGAACGTTACGTGGCAGTAGCATTCCGATGAAAAGGAAGAAGTGAGTAGGATCCCAGTACTTGGCCCGCGGAAAGATCTAGTTGGACCTGCATCCTGGTGCGAGTATCTTTCTGGCATCGATAGGCATCGCCTGGACATCCTCGGAGGCCCGTCATCGTCGTTCCGAGATATACACTAGTTACAAACCTTAGCAGTTTTATGAGAAGTCGAGGCACAGTATGATCGAAGAACGTTCCAGTGGCCAAAGAGGGTACCGTACAAATTTGCTTCAAGAGTACTAGTTTCGACAATGTATCAATTCACACGCTCCTTATAATTGTCAACTTCACCTTTCTATTTGTTTGGACAGAACGTGCTCCGTACTACGCATACGCAATCGTTGGGCTGTGTAGAAGAGACCATCATTGTGTTTATGTTTCCTGGAACCTGAGAATGTGGTTATCATCCCTGATCAAGGCCTCAGATCAGAAAGTAGGGAATGCGAGTTGCCAATTTAAAGACTTAGCTGAGCCGGATCAACCCCAGTGAACCATCGGACATTAACCTGCAGGGGTGCCCAGGCGCCCAGCTGTCAGGACGTGCGAGAAACACGATGTTGTGTAATGACAAGTAAGCCTGGGAACTTGTGGTATGTGGAGCGCATGCGTGTGCTATTACTTGCGTGTTATCAAAATTTTCAGCTTCACCAACGAGGCTTGAACTAGTGACCCTACAGCCGCGTCAGCGCCTTCGTTGGACATCGGTGTCGACATGGCGGCTTTATCGCATTTCCTCTATGTAGCAGTCAAGGTTTCGCCCTCTCATCAACACCGGCTGAAACCATGGCCTATCCTCGATAGGGCGACCTAGTGCGCGTACCGCAAACTTTGAATTCTACATTCCTCGCACTCATTTTGCAACTATCATTTCGCAACGTTTACATTTACTATATGCTACTTGCAGGTGCAGTGCGCCAGGTACTAACAGAAGTTTACATGTCGTCAACACAGGTTCTCTTGTTCTCTTACCATCACGTTCCTTTGGTACAACGCTACTGCAGCCGCTATTAACCCACTCGAAATCTGGTCCTGAACACTTACGTTTCCTCCATAGCAGCACCTGCCTCGGAGTCTTTGCAGCAGCAGCACTGTGGATCAAACATTCGCTCAGGGTTCCTCGAACATTGTTTTCGGTCAAGAACACCATCCAGGCTGTCGTGGACAGTACCTCGTACTAAGTGTACGCATCGCGTGCTTCTCGAACCATCCAAGTGCTTTCGTGCTGTGCTTGGATCGCTTGTTAACGTTTTTGCGCTATCATTCGTATTGCAGGGAGCGTATTGTATTCTACAGTAGCCATAAGCAACATGGTGTACACTGGGCTCGCATGATAGCGACGAATACATACAACTACAACCTCATTTTAAAGCTCGTTCAACTTCAATCGAGGAGCCCGAAACGGACAACTTGTCTAGGTCATTGTTGCCGTTCGCGAGTGCAAGTGCGAGGATGACGATGCTCGATGGTGGTGGTACCGGCGCAGGCTCCCTGGGTCAAGACCAGAAATATCGATATTGAATAACTTAGTGACGGCGTGCGTTGGCGGCGGTAAAATGTAGAATGAGTTTGGCGGAGGACGACAGTGGTCGCACAATGGCGTGGGCGCCAAAAGCACACCTTCAGTCACCAGAGAAGGATCCTGGATGGGGGCAGCGAAAGAGACGGCCGGGGTTTTCGTCCTTAGTACTTACGTTGCGCCACATGTACTTGCCTTATTTTTAGGACAACCAATAATGTTACGTAACAAAACTTAGTTGTACCCCGAGGCCAAGCCCGACGAGGCTGGACGCGTCAGCTGGTGACTAGACTGCCCGGCCGGGCCCCAAACTCGAAGTGTACGACGACTTTATCATGTCTAATACGACAGCCGGCGACCTCGCGAAGCTCACGGTCCCTCAGCTCAAAGTGTTATGCAAAGAACGCCGCATTGTCGGGTATTCGAAACTTGGGAAAGCTGCTCTGCTCTTGAAATTAAACAATAATGATACTACCCGTGGTGATACTCAGTCTCAAGCTGTCATTTCGATCCAACCATTAATATCGAAAGCAACAGCACTAGAACATATAGGTCACCCAGCCGACCTAGCTCCTGCACGCTCCACTAGAGTTCCTGCTCTCAATCATACTCGCAATGCACAGACAGCAAACAAGGACCTTACAGCTACATCCGCAGAAAAATCTGCCCTATGCAAAGCACTGCCGGTATCTGGTCCGGTGGATCACTCAGCTGCTAACCATTGTGCATCACCGACGGTTGTCACTCCATCGACTCCTGACGCTCCCAACGAGAGCCAGAGCGCGAAACGGCCCCGTGTTTCTGCTATATTCGAGTCCACGAAAAGACAAAAGCCCTCTCTTGTGAATTCCGCATCTGTCTGTGACGCCAACTCCTCTTCAAGTTCCACGAAGTTACCCACGGGTACTGGAACCCTCAAAGCAAGTGCTGGTCTGACTTTGGTCACCGAATTCCCGGGGCCGGCTGGTCATCTTCCAGACAACTCTAGTGCTAGTGCTTCATCGAACGCAGTACCTATCATCGTTCAGCCTCAAAATATCAACCTCGTTCAGGAAGGTTCTAAAACAAAACTTCAAGGTCGATTCAAACCTCCCGTTTTCACGACAACTCCAATTATCGCTAGTACATTACTGACCTCCCGGCGAGTTTCCCACAACGCCTCTACACTCCCAGATACTTTTAGCCTTGAGAGCGCCCCCATTTCAATACCATCCTCAATGAATATTACACTTCCGCCTAAGCTATCCGACAGAAAACGGGTTCAAAGCTTGGCAGTAATCCTCTCTGCACTCACTGATCAAGATCGCCAGACTTGCACCATGGTTTCTCGGACATTTCGATATGCGGGTAAGATACAATTTGGAAGTTTGGCGTACCTCTAACAATATTTTCATACAGTGTACCTTTCTGCCACACGTATGCTCACTCAGAAGTATCATGGTCGCCGTCTAAACCAAATAATGAAGCGCCATCCACAAAACACGACGAATATGTGGCCCTACCTGCGTCAGCGTCAGAACGAAGTGGCTTTCTGGAGACATGCATTCCAAAATTCTTGGGTTGGAAGGTACAACTCTTTGCTTGGAATTGACCCTCTGTCTGCACGCCTCTGGGCGAGTGCAGATGATGAGAAGCAGGTGGTGGTGGCACTGAGGTATGCTGTTTTTGATTCAGGACAGAGCGCGGTCAAGCATTAGGTTTAGATTTATCCTCACAAGACTTTGGTTCACGCTCTCTGTCGGAAAAAATGGGCGAGATCCATCGGCATGGCTAAAATATGTTGTGGAAGATGCCCAAGAAGTTGTGAGAGGTGAGATCTGGGCCATCACGATTCGAGATGGAAATTCGTTATACGAGTTCTACGTACTGGAATCCACTTGCGAAGTCATCGGCCGGGCACTCAACGCTCCTCAACTTGAAGTCTACTCATCTGGTTTGCGCGCCGACTGGTCAAGATATATAGCGTCTCACACTGGTATCTCTGCGGGGCCACATAATTTATTCTTAAAAAATCTTCGATGGGCGAATTACGAGGAATACGACCGAGGAATAAGCAGGCACTGGCTACACCGCATCTCTTTTGAACCCGACGTTGGCTTATCGAAAAAGGCGGTCGCTGAGCGATATGTCCTGGCGTGTGTGGTTGCCAATAGGTGATCTACTGAATGAGATGACTCAGTTCGGAACATATTGACAGTCGGCAAACAGCATTAGTGGCCAGTGGATGTCATCTAACCAGATGGCGCAGGAATTCGCAGGTCTGCCGCCTCGAGTAACCCCGACAGCTATCAGAGGCGAAACTCCGAAGATCAACCTTTACCTACCAGCGTAAGCAGTGCTTTTGTGCTTTCGCTCAGTGCGCTCAAGACTCCTTCATAGCCACCACCATGTCGAGAGCGTTCACTTTACCACGCCAAAAGGTGTACCATTTCATCCGGCTCTTGCCGTCATACAGACCCCAGCAAGAGAGTACATCGTCTTGAAGGATAATGGAATGCAGGTCGGATGCGAAGAAGATGGTGTTGCAAATGTGTGGATGCATGTGCTTGGATGCGACAGAAACGGTATCGCGGTTTCTGAATGATTCATGATGCAGCCAAAATTCTCGAAATAATTCCCGCTACCTTTAGGTAGTGTCTTTCCGGTCATCCCCGTACTTGCTTCATGCTCATCTCCTATCGTTATGTCTCCCACTTTTGAGGGTGTCGATGTCGTGGCTTCGCACGATCTCTCTGCTTCGTTCTCTTCTGTAACATCGCAAATTCTCATTCGGTGTCTTGGACGTAGCTACCAAGGATGTTCACGTGTTTGTTCCACCTGTTATTTGCGAGATTGCGATTCTTCTATGAATGCAGTTGGTCTTCAGATTCAGTTGTTGGACGTCGTAGGTTCTCGGATGTCTGCGAGACCCCTTCGTCACCTTTTCGCATTCATAATATTCAGTATTCGATGGACGAATTAAGACATTGTGCATCTCATCCAGACGCTGCTGAGAAGGCATGGCACCAACACACTTCGCGAAACGAACAGGGCCAGATACCTTCTCGAATCACTGAGACACCCTCGCGGCCTAGCTTCAGATCCCCCATGCGATAATCAGATTGTGGGGTGTGACGTGGGACTAGGGACTAGGGGTGTATCTGGCGGTGGTACATGTGACTTCTGTGATCGGGGGTGGCTGCCATCGTTGTGATTCGATCTGCGAAACGGTTCGCCTTTGGGAGAAATCCTCGAGGTTGCACAAGAACAAGGCTGAAACTGTTATTGCAAAACTTAAATACCTTCGCATTCGCAAATGTGGCTATGCACCTCATAGGGGAGTGAAAGTCCTGACACACCGTCACACGTTGCGCGAGAGTGCTATGATGCAATGCATAGTGTGTGCGCGATCGCAAAGCAATGTGACTACAATTTGTTTTTCATAATCTGCCCTATTTCACCCTATCGACGACGTTACAAACAGAAGATAAACAGATCCCATTGTACCACACCATAGTGGGTTTTCACTGGGTTTGAGCTCCCCTACTCTGCTATGTCAATCCTGTCGATGCAGCGATTCAATGAAACGTAAAAACAACGAAAGGCATGGCGTCAGGCAGTTCTTCGTCTGACTCTAGCTCAAATTCATCCTCCGATAGCGACTTGGATTCGGACTCGTACGATGAAGAAACCACTTACTTGCGGTCTCTGTTAGACAACGCAAAATCAAATGCTCGACAGTCGGCTAAATTGAAAAGGGCACTCCGGGAAAATGAGTTTGGTGACGGAGAAGACATTATCAAATTGGGTGGCGGCGAATTGGAAAGGTAATGCATGTTATATGCTTGATTATTTTGCTGAGTTTTGCTATAGACCATTGCCGCCGCCATTGGATCCCGGGAGCTTCCCCCTGCATATTTCAGTGACGCCCCTGCTACTGTACGAGAAACAGCTATCTCTGGAACCATTACTCCTGCACCCCCTCCAAAACCAAGCTGGTTTGACCTTCCAGCACCCGCTGAGGCCGATCTCCCTCGATTGCATCGTGAAATCGAGGCTCTTCACCTGCACAATCAAATTGACCCCAAACGCTTCTACCGCAAAGACGACGGCGATGGGAAGAGTATCAAAAAACATTTTGCTGTAAGTCCCAACACAATCTATCGTATTGTAGAGGCTAATTTTTTAAAATTTAGATTGGTACTATTGTGACTACAAACACGCCATTCGGCACAGCAAGCACAGACAACCTTCCTCGTGCTCATCGCAAAAGAACTTTGGTCGACGAGTTAGTCGATGATGCGGAAGCGCAACGATATGCGAAGAGGAAGTTCGAGGACTTGCAGGCGGTGAGGGGCGCGAGAGGAAAGAATACCTCACATCGAAAGAAGGTGTTGCGCAGGCCGAAGTGGTAACTACATTCTCCATGCGCCAGTTACATCTCACAGTAGCAGCACCAAAATTCACATATGGCGCAGACTTATGGTTCAAACTAATATTCCGCAACTACTCGACAAGAGAACAGAGGGTATCCATAGGAACGGCTAGCAAGAATACAGAGGATAGCCGCGCTAAGTATCACTGGTGCTATGAGAACTACCAGTGCTACTGACCTTTTAGACACGCAAGCCAATGTACTGCCCACCCCCACATATACTAAAATACCATCTAGGATCCGACCGCAAGCACACCGTATACGAAGCCGAGGTCGTACGTTGGGACTTGAATGAGCTTTCGCTAATATGCTCGAGTAAAAGTCGTGTCATTCACACAGCATCCAAGCTTCTATTTTTGCAGAATCCCTTGCCAGTGAAACTCCCTGTGTTGTTACTCCGCTTCATGGTGAGGAGTTTTAAAATGATTTTATCTCAAAAGGAACTCACAGCCGACGTTGAAGCCGAAGATATCGAGTTTGGCATTCATGAGCAGGAGTTAGCACTCGATGTAGATGGAGACCTTGCGGAGGAAGATCCCGAAGGCCTTGATAGTGATGACGAAGATGGCCTCAACGCTGAACTTGGCATCGATATCGAGGAGTGTGATGGTAACTTCTGGAGTTTGCTCGACGACAAAGCGTCACGTGTCAACATCCGATGCGTCTTGCAGACCCCTAGAAAGAGGTATGCTATTGTCTGTGTTGGAAATGGCGAGCAACTGTTGTCCACTTATTTCAACGATGTACTGAAGTTCGGAGGAGGACAAGTATGGTGGGAACTAGAACGAGACGAGTCTAGGTACATGTAAGTTAGGCTAGACGTCAATGGCCTCAAGTTTGTCAATAGGGCTTGTTAGTAAATTCGGATCGCCATCGAACGTCGCGCGTTCCACGTCTGCAGTGAGCACATAAATCCTCTCCTTGTCGATCCACATGTCCTCCAACTCTGAATTAGCACAATCAAACTTTCTGTCCGAAAATAGGACCTGGACGTAAGGCAGAGATGTTGTCAAGCTCTCTCCAAATCCACCGGCACTGATGTATGTCGTGGACGGCTCTTTCACCACTCGTCCCAGACCCCGCCTGTTTGTCACAGCTAACGGGCTAAAGTCCATTAGATGTAATATAAACTGCGAGTTGTGCGTGCCGACAGGGAGTGTCTGCAAGACTCGATTTCCGTTAATGTGAATTTTGAAATGAGATGGGTGCCGGAAGATACGAGTATTTGAAGGGCCCCAATGTTGCCATGGTATTGGCGTTGCTGCTACCATTTCGTTAAGGTCGAAGAAAATCCTCGTGGAAATGATGAAGACTTGAGTACTGAAAAATAAACCGGCACGAGTAGAAAGCACAGTAAAGCATATGAGTCGATGTGTAGGGTCTGAAGTGCACATCGTCGCTTGGGCTTGCATATGCGGCTGTGAGCTATACCCAATATCATCTATCGGAGAAAGGCATCGTAGCATCAATGGGATGGGCATCAGGAAACATGCCAGCAATTCCGGCGTCTGGGACATGTTCTCAATTGAATAGAGATTCAAGTTATCGGTTATAACCAGTAGTCGATTGTTGCCGAGGAAACAGAAATCAATTGTGGCGCGGGATCGGTTGGGTACTGCACCACTGAGGATGCTCTAAATTCAGAATCAACCGTCAAGTCTTTAAACTATCTCAAACCAAAGCTCACACTGGATGTTGTCGAGTATTTCCAGTCCCAAATCTGCAGCTGCCACACACTGTCCAACGAAGTCCAATTTTCATCATCCAAGCAACGCGACAGAGCGATATGCCTCCCAAAACCTTTGAGCTTCGCATTTGTCGTTTCAGAGTGGTTTTCCGAGTCGTCCGACAGAAACAGTCTCTCTCCAGCAGCCTGAGGGTGAACGCCATCACCATCTAGGGCTCCAAGGTTAATATAGACGGTCTTGCGATGAACAACATAAGCGACAGCGATCAGGTTTTGTGCTGGGTCCATAAAAACATCAAGGTTGTATGAGTGTGGAACCGAACACAACGTTCCTGGAAGCCAGTTTCGCTGGATTGACTGTTGTGAGGGCTTTGGAAGTATCGGAAAAATCATGGCCGTATCTTCGTGTGTGTTCCACAAGCAGAAATGCCCATTAGCAACAATGTTTTCTCGAGATAGCGGTGCCCTTATTATGGTGACCGTTTCGAAAGAGTGGGTGTCAACCTTGAACCATGCGTGAGCTTTGTCTCTCAAAAGTTGCAGACGCTTAGAAATAGGTATGCTATTGTCCGTGTTGGGGATAGCGAGCAACTGTTGTCCACTTATTTCAACGATGTACTGAAGTTCGGAGGAGGACAAGTACGTCTTGCGAAGGGTTCTACATATCTGCAAGAGGATCGTCAGAATAGCACTGTCTATCTAGAACAACGATAACTTGAATGGCGACCCACAGATGTACACCGAAGAATATCTCGGTAAGGAAGGAAGCTCAGAATGTAAAACAAAAGTTCTTCAGCAAGAGACAGGAACCCTGTTTTGGGCTTCATCTCGTTATCCTCACTATGTACTAACAGTACTTCAAGTTGAAGGTGCCATCCCCTGATTACATAACCATTTTATGGTTATCGAAAAAGTCTATACTGCAACTTTCACCAAGACAGCCTGACGCTTCATGGACCTTAAGCATGAGCGACACAATTCCAAGGCGCGCCGGTCCACAGCAGGCTCGAGGAAGAAGGGGAAGTCGCGTCGTAAAAGCAACGGTGTCATCCCTACAGCTGATGTCCCTGATCCCAACGCCGCGATCCTTGAATACAAGTCGCTCGAAGATAAGGAGCGCGACAGAAAAGAGAGGCTCGTGAGAGAGGTCTGCCCGTTACATTATTGAAGGCTAGGAGACGCTGATACGGGCCGAAGCTTGCAGCACAGTCAGAATCCAAAGTATCGAGACAGAAGCGGAAGAGGTTGGAAAAGTATGTTGTGCGTCAATCTCTCTGCCTTCTGGAAAAGTTGTACAACGGTACTTGCAGGAAAAAAAGCTAAGAAAAGAAGAGAGACTTGTGATTCTTGAGAAGCTAGCGTATGTGAAGTTTCCGCATTTCATCGTCGCATCTTTACAGAGGTTTGTAGCCAGACACAAGCTCAAACTTCAAGCCTTGATCTTCAATCGTCATCTACTCTTGGTACAGGAGCCACCTCTACAGCTCGAGAACGCCAGGAAAAGCTAGAAGATAAGGAAGTGCGTCATGCCATGGAGGGCCATCCCAATAAACGTCGACGGCGCCATAACGATTTCACTATTCATGAATACGGAGATAGCGAAGACGAATCCGACGCGATGGATGTAATTGGATTCGTTGAGAAAGCTGATCAAATACCAGAGCAACATGATGAACACGAACATGAGGGGCTAGTCACGAAGGAATTCTTCACGGACCCTCCTACGGCTTCGACAGTCTCGCAGCCAGCTGAATCCACATTCACCGTTGGTGGAGCACTCAAACGGAATCCTGATGGTTCTGTCGTGGCACCCCTAGTCGTGAATAAAAAGAATGCAAAGAGTCGAATGGTATGTATGCCCTAACCGAGGAACTTTCGAACTGATTTATTTTCTCGGAAGACCTCCTTTCCGAGCTGGAAAAGAAGGATACCACAGACAGGGGCTTCAGAACAGGAATCAGACTCATCGTTTGACAGCTCTGATTCGGCCTATGATACGGATGAAGAACATCACGACGACGATCGAGAAGGGGACATCTCGGCGGTAGGTTCAGACGAGGAAGAAAAGTGTCCTCCACCTGCCAAGAGACGACTTGGATTCAAGGACTGGGCCGTAAAACAGCTCAACACAGCGAAAGGCCACGATATTACTAAAGGGACCCCATCGTTACTCGAAATCAAGCATCCAACCGCACCTGCATCTCAAAAACGAAAGTCGACATCGTCACAGCCGAATTCAATGCGCGGTCCCCTGGGTGAAGACCTAAAGCTTCCCTCTACATCTTTTGCCGAATGCATGACGAAAATCCAAGAAATTTCCTCTAAATCATCTTCTAGAAGCATAAAGTCGGTGTCTGTCATTCGTCCCCTTGATATCCAGGAGTCCAGGATGCAGTTGCCTATCATTGCAGAAGAGCAGCCCATCATGGAAACCATAATGCTCAATCCAGTGGTGATCATTTGCGGTGAAACTGGTAGCGGAAAGACTACTCAGGTTCCACAATTTCTCTACGAAGCCGGGTTTGGCGATCCCACTGGAGGTTAGTTTGCATGTACGAGTATATCTCATGATGACTGATGTTGATGTACGCAGAAAACCCGGGCATGATAGGCGTTACGCAGCCAAGGCGAGTTGCGGCAATGTCGATGGCATCTCGAGTGGCTCGTGAACTATCCTTGACCTCCTCCCGCGTATCATACCAAATCCGATACGATGCAACTGTATCTCCTTCAACTACGATCAAGTTTATGACCGATGGGGTGCTTTTGCGTGAACTTGCCACCGATTTCTTACTCTCAAAATATTCGGTGATTATCATCGACGAAGCGCATGAGCGTAGTATGAACACCGATATCTTGATCGGCGTCCTTAGTCGGGTAATCAAACTACGCGAACAAATGTGGAAAGATGGTACAGAGGGTACGAGACCATTACGGCTTATAATCATGTCGGCGACCCTACGCGTCGGTGACTTCGCAGAGAATCAGACCCTCTTCTCGTCGCCGCCTCCAGTTGTCAGTGTTGATGCTCGCCAACACCCTGTAACAATACACTTCAATCGGCGGACGTCTACTGACTATGTCCGCGAAGCAGTCAAGAAAGCGGCCAAGATTCATGCTCGTTTGCCACCGGGAGGTATCCTCATATTCTTGACAGGGCAAAATGAAATCCAGGGCGTCTGCAAAAAGCTCGAGGCACGATATGGCAGAAAAGCTCTGGAAGCAAGAAAGAAGAGGAGACAAGTTGTCCAAGCTTCTTCTATTTTTGCAGAATCCGTTGCCAGTGAAGCTCCCAGTGCTGTCACTCCGCTTCACGGTGAAGAGTTTTAGGCAATAATCTAATGATTTTATCTCACAAGGAACTTACAGCCGACGTTGAAGCCGAAGATATCGAGTTTGGCATTCATGAGCAGGAGTTAGCACTCGATGTAGATGGAGACCTTGCGGAGGAAGATCCCGAAGGCCTTGATAGTGATGACGAAGATGGCCTCAACGCTGAACTTGGCATCGATATCGAGGAGTGTGATGGTAACTTTTCGATAATTTGATGTTTGACAAGCTCAAGTAACACGAATCTAGTCCCAATGCACGTCGTTCCCTTGTACTCACTCTTGCCGAGCGAGAAACAAATGCGAGTTTTTGATACACCACCACCAGGCTATCGTTTGGTGGTAGTATCAACAAATGTCGCAGAGACCTCCCTTACGATCCCAAACATACGTTATGTAATCGATTCTGGTCGAGCGAAAGAGGTACGAGCATTTCTATCGATAGTGAAAAGCACACTCTGACAGTGTATAAAGCGACATTATGATATAGCGAGCGGTATCCAATCTTTTCAGGTCAGCTGGATCTCCAAGGCTTCCGCCGCCCAACGAGCTGGTCGCGCGGGTCGTACAGGTCCAGGCCACTGCTACAGGCTCTATTCCTCCGCTCTTTACGAGCATTATTTCGAGTCATTTTCACAGCCTGAAATCCTGCGCACACCGATTGAGGGTGTCGTTTTGCAGATGAAAAGCATGAACATCGACGCCGTTGTCAACTTCCCTTTCCCAACCCCTCCAGATAGACAGGTGTTGAAGAAGGCTGAGACGGTCCTCACTCGTCTTGGTGCGCTCAGCAGTACACCTCTCGTATCGCAAGCGGGGGTATCTATGTCAACGATCGGGGGCCAATTGACGCCTCTAGGGAAGGCAATGAGCCTGTTCCCGCTTTCCCCGCGCTTCTCTCGATTGCTTGCTGGGAGCCAACAACATGGCTGCCTGCCCTATGTAATCTCGATCGTGGCAGCTATGTCAGTCGGGGACCCTTTTCTTCGTGAAGATGGGTTAGACGTCGATAGCGAGTCCGATGGCGACGAAGGACCGGCACACATCAAGAACGCTTCCATCAGAGCGAAAGAGGTGAGGAGAGCCCGTCGGCGGACATTCTTTGAGTCTCAGCAGGTTCGTCTTTCACCTATCTGTCCAAACTTTTACTGAACACTAAAATAGATTCATGGATCGCTGGGCAATTTTAATAGTGACATTTTCAGGTTACTCTCGGTTGTCGGGGCCTATGAGTGTTCTGGAGGCGGTCACGAGTTTTGTAAGGCCCATTTTGTAAGGCCCAAGGTATGTCTAATAGTCATAATATCTAGCTCGCGGCAACATAATGGGAGACTACAGGCCATGGAAGAAATACGCAAACTGCGAGCTCAGCTGAGCAGCATCGCAGAAACAAATTTCCAAAACGCTGAAGTCCGCTTTAACACGAACATCCGACCTCCCAAAGACATTCAGGTAAGCGGTGTCTTGTCATGCATTCTCACTTAGGTGACATCAATTCGTTTAGCTCAAAGCCATCCGTCAACTGCTTGCCGCGGCATTTATTGATCAAGTAGCGGTACGGAAGGATCTTATACAAGAAAACTCGAGTGGAAAGCAGTTTTCGACTACTAAAGGTGTACCGTATGCGGCGGTGGGAGTACCCGGGGATGTTTTCATTCATCCAACGTCTGTTCTTGCAAATCGCCCTCCACCAGACTATCTCGTCTTTTCTGAAGTAGTCCAAACATCACGGACCTGGATCAAAGGTCTGTTTGTTGCCGCTACAAATCGGATACATGCTGACAAACACGAAGGGCTAACGGTCATAAATCCTGCATGGCTGTCGAGTCTGGGAAAACAGAGTATGTGCACGTTTTCGAAACCTTCCAGAAACAATGCGGGTGTGATGATGTCTATACCGCGGTTTGGGCCAGGTCAGTGGGAGCTGCCGCCCGTAAAAGTGTGATTAATATACAATTGTGTTATTCGATATGTATGCGATGCGGTCCAGAAATCACTACCTCACGTAAGGGCAAAACGGTTGGATCCGCTAAAATAATTTGCGCTCCCATGTGTGGAGCTCCCGGTACTACGCAGGATATTGTAGTTGCATGGTGGATGGGCGAATTACGTGATGTATGCAATGTCACGCTTTGTGTGAGGTCCATCATTAAAGCTCAAACGCCATGGCCAACCAGAAGGTATTTCAATCATTGTCAATCATTTGACATCAAATGAGGGCTAGGATTGTAGAGCGAGACGACAAGGTCGACAACTTTCAAGTGGTGCGACCAAGTCTACCATAATATATCTTGGGTGACACAGAAAATTGACGCCTCTGCAGTTGGATAGATCGGACAGCCAGCGCTGTTGCAGATCTAGCTTCCAAGGAGGCTCGTTTCATTACAGGCAAGCTTTCCATCCCGCAAATGTTGTGGTCGGCGGGCTGGCAAACAGTGTTTGGAACACGCGAGGATGGACCATTCACGAGTTCCTGGCTCCTAATGTCGTTCTCTTCTACCAAGCAGACTGGACATTATACCTCAACGACCGCTCTCCCAACCACAAGAAGTCTGTCACTGTCATGCAGGAGTTGGAGGATTCGACAAGCATAAATGCACAGGCCCTCGTCGCCTTCCATCTGGGCATATCAGGTACACGAGAGAAACTGCAATGGTCGTCGACGCGTGTCACCACATGAAAGGAAGATATCGCCTATTCATTGTTTGGTATTTTCGACCTCCACCTACCCGTCATCTCCGGCGAGACGAAACAAAATGCGCTCGGTCGGCTCTTGCAGGAGATCATCGCTCAGTCGGGAGACATCACTTCCCTGGACTGGGTCGGAATATCATCCGAGTTCAATTTCTGTGTCCCTGCTGACATCGACAAATTTGCGCCATGCACGCTGCCATCTCTATCTGAAGATCGGATACAGACGTTCGCTGCGAAATGCCGCAGTCGTGCAGTTGGCTTGTTGGGCTAAAGGACCGCAGAATCCTACAGAGACTCCATGTGCGCATCGTTTTTCATGATGTTGGAGTCGCTATCAAGGATGTGATCTTTCTGGCCAACAAACTGAGTTGCTTGTCTGGCGGACTGAAGGGTAAAGTAACTATTCTTATTCTCCTTACCCCAACCGCTCACGCCACCCTTAGCCCTATCTTATTTGCATAAAGCAGGTTGGATCCATTCCGATTTCAGCCTCGGGAACGTGAAATGGGCCGTCGGTGACAACGGGGGTATTAGCTAACTGGTCGACTTCGAGTACGCGAAAGAGATGGATTCAAACACTTCTCATGATGTTCGAACGGTAAGAATTTCTGAAGATGATACCTCTCGCTGCTAACTCGTCGGCAGGGAACAATGCATCTCATGGCGATAGAAGTAGAATATTATTATTATTATTTTTTGGATCAGTGTTTATTGTCCGTTGGGGCATAGCCCTATGGTAGACAAAACATGCGAGTATTTACTGTAGCGTACTATATGTTTATATGTGTCCGGTGGTGTACAATCATTGGTCCAGGTGAAACACGAGGACGGTTAAGGCCAGCTAAAGGCGATAGTGAGAGTGCGAGCTCGTTCATTCTTCTTCGTCATCTTCGTCTGCAGGTGGTGTGACGTCACCAAAGGTCTGTTCCATTCTGTGCGTACTCGCTATGAAGCGCAGTAGAGGTTTGATACACTTTGAATTGTTCAGCAGGTTCTTGAGGTGATAGGTCTGCGGGCCGAGTTCGAGTTGGAGTGCGTGGCGTTGTGTTGTGTACTTTGGGCAGGTGATTATGAAGTGGTGGACCGTTTCCTCGCGCTCGCCGCATTGCTGACAGATGGGGCTGGGTACTTTTGCGATGCGGTGTAGGTGCTTGTTTAGCGGGGCGTGTCCCGAACGAAGTTGGAAAAGGAGTGAAGAGTGTCGGCGCGGGAGTTTTTCTATCAGTTTTGAGAAGTGTTTCGAAGGAGCCGTTGCATCGATTTCATGAAGGCGTTTGTATCGCGGTGAGTTTTTCATGATATTTGATGATTCTTCTTTGATTATTCGTCTGAACTGCTGCTTTAGCGCCGACTTGCTGATGGGGAGGACGATTGCCGCGTTTGTTCTTGTGGTGAGGAGGGATTTGGGGAGTTCGTTAGGTGCGCTACTGTTTCCTCTGGCTGCCATCTTCGCTTGCTCATCAGCTGCTTCATTGCCTGGTATTCCGTGGTGGCCTGGGGTCCATCGTACGGTCAACTTGCGTTCGTCGTGCGCGGGTATGAGCTTGCGCAGGTCGTCGTGGAATTTATCCATAAGGTAGTGACCGGGTTTGGAGACGAAGGCCTTGGTTGCCCAAATGGCGGCTTGGTTGTCAACGCCGAGGGCCATTGATCCTTCTCCCCCTTCTTCTTTCAACAGCTCTATTGCCAAGATCATCCCTACTAACTCTCCCTCGTAGACCGTATGCTCCTGGTCTCCTCCTAAGTAGAACTTCTTCGTTCCTACTACTTCGCCATTCCTTATCAGTACTGCCGCTCCTCCTACTCCTCCGTCTATCGCCGAGCCATCAGAATATGCTCGGAGGTCTTCGTCTGCGCCTTCATCGTCGTTGACGGCTGTGGCTGCGTCTGCCGCTATCTCTGTTGCGACTGTCCGGGGTCCACTTGGGGTAGTGTCGTATTGGCTCGATTGTTTCTACCGTGTGCGGGTTGAGTCGGAATTCGTTGAGTAGGCGGTGTATGGGCGACGGATGTCTCTTGCAGCTTCCAAAGTTTCTTCTGGTACAGGCGTTGTACGCTACGCGGATGCCCTTGTAAAGGGGGTGCGACTTATGCATCGTGATCATGCGTAAAGTGGCTCTGTGGCACACTTTGCGTAATAGCTGTTGAAAAGGGAGTATATCAGCATGCGCGTCTAAGAGATCAGTAGCAGAGGTTCTCATCCCCCCCGTTATCATAGTGGTTGCCATCCGCTGAACTCTGGCCATCTTCGATGCGAAACCTCTCACTCCTCGGCCGGCGTTCTTCTTTCCCCTTCCTTTTGCGACGAGTCCGGAGCACCAGATGTCTGCCGCGAAGTAGAATATTAGCGGTACCTTGACTCTTCCACCCCCGAGCTTCCCTTCCACCTGTTGGAACATCTCGTGGTGCAGACCTCCCGCTCGCTCCTCCATTCCGCGTGAATCTCCTGCACGACATCGAATCTGTATGGTGGGTATATACGTGGATCTTCTTTTATCACACGGACATGACCACGGCGAACTCCAACAATTCCTTTTATGCGCATGCGCAGTGGAGACAATTCCAGATGGCATTCCCTGGTGTGATTTGCCAGGGAATACGCGAGCACTTCATCTGGGAACTTCAGAATAACTGCAGTTCTGTCCTTTCAGATATATGCTCTGATGTTTGCAATTTTGCACAGACTCTCTAAGACAGTCATGAAACGGCAGAGTCTAAATACCCCTTGTTTGCGCTTGATGATTCCCTTCTGGAAGATGTGCATAGAAAAGCCGCAGAGTATCTCCATGATGCGACAGAATGCTGGTGATATCGAACTTTGTCCGCTCTCCAACCTCAAGCAGAAGAGGAAGGTGAAACATTCCCGACGCCAGATAATGCAGGGAAGAGGATCCGACACGGTTGATTTCTTCATTGATTGTATGATAAAGACGAGAAGTATAAATCCCACATGCGTCCCAGTCCAGACCATACACATTAAAAAATACAGATAATCACTATGACGGTAATTAATGTTTCCCTGACGATGCTAACTCTCACCATCTGGTCGTAGAACTGTTTCCTTGGTTAGACTTTTCATTCAAGCGAATACAGACGGACATCGTGCAATAGCAGAATGCCTCATTCTTGACAAATTTGAGGACGTGACAACCAACTCCAATGTCCCTGCCTTATGTCGAAGTCGTATGAGGTACTAGGGAATTTAGTTTTTGGCGGGTTAAAAGACATGGCTCGACAAGGACAGTATTTATATGCTCAAGGCTGAGGGATATCTGGAACGCGGTGTGGCAGATTTTTTTCGTGCACCGCAGTCCTAGTAGCAGGCTTGAGATCATTGATATCTAGAGCAAAGACTCATATCTTCACAACCGTTTATTCTGAGCTCCGGTCGGCCCATTAGCAGGAGTACATGCCCTCCGAGTTTAGACTGCTTATCATACTATCTCCCGCAGAAGGCTTCACAGGGTTGTTGCGTACGCTTTACCTGAAGCATTCGTTCCCCCCTTCCCAATCATAACTAGCAACAGTGTGTAACACGAGTCCGGGAGCTGCTGCAGCCATCTCGCTAAGATGATATTCAATTATTATGTACCGAAGTCAAATTGAAGTCCTACACACTGACTCATGAGTGGTCCAGAATTTTTTGCACTGCAAATTGATTGTATCATGAGAAAGAGAACCCTTGCTTGCAAGGTAAGTATGCTGTACACCAGCGTACATGGTAACTAGCAGAAGATATATAGATACAATGCACTCAAGCGCGAAAATGTAATCCTATAGATGGTATATTTGAATCACAACCGAAAATTTGTCGAGAATAGCGAATGCTGAACATGAGACTAAGGAGAGGCAACAACGAGGACATTAAAGTTATATGTCGTCGGGTTAGCCTCAAAAGTGAAGTCTGTTGCCTGCAGATCAATGACGGTCTGCCCTCCTCGGGTTAGTGTGCCAGACATAGTCCCGCCGGGTTGTATGGGTACAGCTAACTTAGAAACGCCAGCCGGGACGTTGAAAGTTTGTGATTGACTAGACGAGGTCGAGAGTACGACTGTGGCAGGGGAGGTCGCCAGAACCACGGCCCAGACATTGTCTGAAGTCTAGATTTATCGCAGTTGAGATAAGCACCCCATTGATATCAACAAAGCACATACAATCTGGTAATTGGTTGGTTTTCCAACTGGGTCGTTTGACGCAGAAGCCGAGGCAGCATGTGGACGCGACCACATTATGAGCTGGTCTTTGGCCGGAGTGGGGTATGATCCTGTCTTGAAGGCTGAGGCGTAATAAGACGTAAGATTGAGCCAGCCTAAAGGACCTAAGTTAGCATTCGGATCATCTGTATAAACTAGTAAATGCGCACCAGTGTGATCATTGCCATCAACCCATGCTTGACTCATGGGTTGGGCGCCCTCTATCGGACCAATGTAATGCGACTCTCCGAAATCATTCCAAGAAATGATTTGTACGAAATCTACCTGGTCGCGGATCTTGATCAATGACTCCCACCGAGTAGCGTACAAGTGATCATCGCTGAGATAAATCCACTACAGGAGCCTTGTCAGCGTCCGCAACATGTACGACGGAAGGGCGACCCACGTTTTTGTTGTAAGTTGACGGGCCATAATGGGTGAAAAACCACGGAGACACAGCTGCCATGTACGTTTTACCACCGCCCATTGCAGCCAAGCTCGAGATGTATGTATCATCTGGAGTCGTTGACCCGATGACATTAGACAATACAGAGTTGACGGTGGAGGATAGACCACTCGCGATGTCTCCGAGCAGACCAGGTATGGACGATACATATGAAGTCGTAACTTGAATTGGCCATCCGGAATTCCACTGAGAACAATTAAATTCATGCAGGATGTGATACTGGAATAACCTACATTGAACATGCCATCAATCACCCCACTGTAGGAATTGAACTGTGATGGATCGACGAAAAATGATGGCACAAAATGAACTGCGGAAGATCCTGTCAACTGTTGCACGAATTGAGTAGACCATCCAGAAGCGACGGATCCCTGTCCGAAAGTGCAAGTTTCGCCAGAGAAGGTTGAGGCCATAACGCGGCCATTGTAAAGCAGTTGATTGGGGTGTGTGGCATAGGTTGTTATATAAGTACGAAGATTTGCAGCGTCGGAAGCTGTGGTACAAGGCAAAGAACTGTACGAATGATGATCTGCTGAAGAAGATGAAATGAATAATTAACTTACGACATATCAAAGGACATGAAGAGCTTGAAACCAGATCCAGATTGGAGAGCGGCTTGATAGCTAGGAATTTGCTGAATTAGAAGTCGATTACTCAGTTAAAAACATAGGGACTTACGCATTGGCCACCTGTGAAGGCTGCCAAGAATCCACTCCTACGTTCAAAGCAAAACCGTCGATTCCGCTGGAATGCGCAAGAAAGATATCCGCAAGCCAATTATCCACAGTATAGGGGTATGAATTTCCGACCATGAAGTGTGCAATAACATATTTCGATGATACAGAAGGAGAGCTTGTACCAGCGGGTGCCTGGGAAGTCGTTGTCATAGTTGCTGGAAAAGAAGAAGAACTTGCAGGTGTCACGCTGGACGATGGTCCAGCAGACGAATTGAGGAGAAGTACAGGCTGCACAGCAGAATTGTGGTGGTTGAAATGGTTTATGTGTCTGCCAGTCCTCAAGGGAGAAGCTAGGGAAAGAGCGACAAAAGAAAGAAAAATGAGTGGAAAGTGCACGAGCATTGCTGGTGACACCATGAGTGAAACGAGTGTGTTAGGAAGTGAGTGGAAACCTGAAGGTTAATAAAGAGTTTGCGGCGCAGCCGACACGACTCAAGGAAGCTGGTAAGTAATGAGAGAAAAAGAAGGGTTTGGACTCATTCTTATTATATATCATCCGAGTCGTAGGGCGCTTGATCCTAGTTAATGTACACAGAACGTCAAATTTTCAAACACAAGCTGAGAACAATGACGACTGCCGTCACGGTCCGCCCGGCTACACCGAGCTTATTGTTCCATGTGACTCATCACGTGACCTCGACAAAGTCATTTGGCTGACAGTCATCGGGGGTTTCAACGTTTCAACGTCTGGAGCACTCTGGATTATTCGAATCCGACACCCAAAGGAGGGTTTTGTAGGTACCCGTCTCTGTCTTGCAAGAAGTTTGTGGGTTTTTGAGTGGTTCGTGGTTGTCACTTTGCATCGTGTGTTTTTCATGTCCCGCAAACTTCTGTGCATGGCGTTGTCAACTCATTGTCCACTCTTAACTTCCGTTTCTTCGAGGCTCGATCTTATCTTGAATCTTTATGTACAACATTGCCGCACTTCAAGGTTTGATGTAGGCCGATGGGTATTCAATCTGCGGACTGATTAGTTTGGCTTTATTTGGTTCTTCGTATGATAGACGGGCTGTGGTGCCTTATGTTAAAAAATAGTTATTGAATGTATCTGGTTTGCTCTCAGGACGACCGTAGTTCTGAGCTGAGTAGTTGAGACGAGGGGATACATTACTGATAAAGCCGGGCGGAGTCGGGGACTGGCGGTTAACCGCCGTTACGATGTAATTTCACCGGTGGAAAAAGGCGGTAAAATATCAGTTTCCCTGCTGTGTGAATGACACGACTTTTACTCGAGCATATTAGCGAAAGCTCATTCAAGTCCCAACGTGCGACCTCGGCTTCGTATACGGTGTGCTTGCGGTCGAATCCTAGATGGTATTTTAGTATACGCCTTCGCGAGTTAGTGCGGCTGCGGCTCCTAACCCTCCACCGTGACTTGAGCTATCGTGTATATTTGAACGTTGTCGGTAAGTTCTCGTTGCTCTTTGATTGCGTCCTTTTCCTTGGGGGAGATGTGTGCGCGGTAGACTATTGGTTGCTTTTTGACCGAGTTTTGCAGCGGATCTATCGTTTCGACATCATCGGGGTATATTTGGAAGGACGCTATCAGGTTGTGGAGTGATGAACGGTGCCGGGATATGTTTCGGTGCTTGACAACGTGTTGGAGATGTGGGTGGAGAGGGTGGCGTTGGGGGTAAAGTGGCAAGGCGTATCGCAGCTCGATGGCATGTCTTCTGGAGGAGAAGAGGGGTGGGTAGTAGATTGGCGTGCGTGTATTTGCCGTTCCTATGGATCCCCTCTGTTCTCTTGTCGAGTCGTCGCGGAATATTGGTTTGAACCATAAGTCAGCGCCATATGTGAATTTCGGTACTGCTACTGTGAGATATAACTGGCGCATGGAGAATGTAGTTACCACTTCGGCCTGCGCAACGCCTTCTTTTGGTGTAAGGTGTTCTTTCCTCTTGCGCCCCTCACCGCCTGCAGGTCCTCAAACTTCCTCTTCGCATACCGTCGTGCTTCCGCGTCATCGACTAACTCGTCGACAAAAGTTCTCTTGCGATGAGCGCGAGGAAGGTTGTCCGTACTTGCTGTGCCGAATGGCGTGTTCGTAGTCACAATAGTACCAATCTAAGCAAAAAATAAGCCTCTACGATACGATAATTCGTGTTGAAAACCTACAGCAAAATGTTTCGGGAGTCCTTTGATGCCCTTCCCATCGCCATCGTCTTTACGGTAGAAGCGTTTGGGATCGAGCTGATTACGCAGGCGAAGAGCCTCGACTTCACGATGCAATCGAGGGAGATCGGCTTCGGCGGGTGCTGGAAGGTCAAACCAGCTTGGTCCAGCGGTTTGGTTTCTCATCTGAAAAAATACACGTCCGTGAGTCCTTCAATTGATACGGTCATAGTGACACTTACAGATATTTTGCCGGTAAGCGTTGGTTTTGGAGGGGGTGCAGGAGTAATGGTTCCGGAGGTAGCTGCCTCCGCGTGCTGTACGTCTGGGTCTCGTACAGTAGCAGGTGCGTCGCGTCTATCTTTGACAAATTCGAAATATGCAGGGGGAAGCTGCCCGGGATCCAATGGCGGCAATGGTCTATAGCGAAACTGAGAAAAATAACGAAGCATATAACATGCAATACCTTTGCGATTCGTCGCCACCCAATTTAATAATGTCTTCTCCGTCACCAAACACATGTGCCCTTTTCAACTTGACCGCCTCTCGAATATTTGACCTGGCGTTGTCTAGAAGAGAGCGCAAGTAAGCATCGTCCAAGTCCGAGTCCGAGTCCGAATCCGAATCCGAGTGGGATGAATTTGAGCTAGAGTCAGACGAAGAACTTTCTGACGCCATGTCTTTTGTTGTTATTCCATTTCCTTGAGCCGTTGCAGGCAGGGTCGACATAGTTTGAGATATTAACGTAGTCAGACTGGTCGATCTCGGAGTGATTTGGCAGGCGAAGCAAGGGTTTGAAATTTGGCAGATGGCAGGTATGCCGCTTTGGGTAAACAACGCAAATTCTTTCATAATCATTTTCACCGTGAAAAGTACAGTATCCTCCCAAATACAATAGTACTACATCGCGCCGGAGCACTGAACCTTTGGCTTGGATGATCAATATTGATTGATTAAGCGGTGAATCGTCATAACCTGGTGTCAGCCCAACAATCACTGTCGATGCATGGTCTTCCTTCTCAGAGCGCGCCTCTTCGCAACTATCAGTGCTAATCGGACTACTACCTGACCATAAGTGCAGGGTGACAGGAACTCACCACGATCACTGAACGTATCAGCGATGCAGACGATACCTGTATCGACGTACTCCTGCGCGCTGGTATCATCGACAATGATTTCCACGTTACGGCTGACAACCCCAATCGCTTGCATGCATTATTGATACCGGGTTTTTTTACTCCAACTCGATTTCACCTTCACTGAGCAGTCCTGCGTAACGTCTCTTGTGCCTTCGCAAGACCTGGCCATTCGTACGATGCTCCTAGTCTTTGTTTACCGAGCTGATTGCAGTGTTGTTATCTGCAACTGTGTCCACGATGAAAGGATGGGCGTGCTATATTCTCTATTGTACAATGTATTCATCACATTGCTAGTCCAACCTCGGGCTGGATGCAAGCAACGTGGGAACGTATATCATTCTGACATTATCCTCGTAAGGCCTGAGGGTGAATTACTTGTACAATTGAATGGCGATATCCAAGCGATTGCCTATGGTTTCCCAGGCTGATAGAATGATGACTATGAGCACTGATCACCGAAACTCAAAGAAATATTACCTTGTTCTTCTTTGGTATAAAGATGCTACCTTTCTCCTTCTTGAACCGTTTTGGAGGTGGCTGCGTTGTCCTGGTTTCATGTGGTCCAGAGGTTGAAGGTTCACCGTTCACACCTTCAGCCAAACGACGCTTCTGGCCAACGTCTCTGGGAACCGTCAGGTTTGCAGGAGGATCTTTCATCGATGGTTGCTCCTCAATCGTCTGTGAAGGTTTAGAGGAGGGAGGCCGACGACTAGACTCAGCAAAGCTTTTGGGAGTGACTAGATCATCTGGTCTAGGCGGCAAAGTCACGACTGGCTGCTTCTTGGGTTTCGGTGGTGATGGAGGCCGGCGAACTTGGGGGTTCACAGCTTGAGTGGTAAAGAAGCCAACATCCGCCTGTATCTCATTAAGTTCAGCGAGCGAAGGAGAATCTGAATGTCAGACCTCTGTGAGTAATGACCTTTCGCGAGCGTCCTGTACGATATTGCGCCAGTTCTCGTCGCTTCGCTCGAGAGTAGGCGCATGACCCAGAATAAAGAGAGATGAACGCGCACGAGTTATAGCGACATTCATTCTCCGAACGTCTGAGCGCCTTTAGCTGCCTGTGCGTATACAGATTGAAACATCATACCCGACAGGAAACCGACAGATTGCACTCTGGGACCAGCACGAACACAAGAAAGGATGATAATATCCTTCTCTTGTCCCTGGAATCCATCAACAGTGTGGAAGTGTACCCTGCCCTTAATATCTCTCCCAAATCGTTGTTCAAAAGCTCGTTGGAGCTCCATGACTTGACCGCGGTACATGGAAACGATGCCAACGCGGAAGTCAAAGTCTATGTCGGAAAACTCCTTACACAAGCGTGCATACAAGGCGAGGGCGACTTGGCTCTCCGTAATGTTTGTTAGAGAATGACCGCTTGCAGGGGTTTCTAGTCCCCGGTGAACGTTGAAGAACCTGTATGTGCCGAATTTAGGATGTAAATGCCACGGCTGCTTGGTTTTGACATCCATATCTGAGCCATCCAAGAGTCGACCCTGGTAGAAGATCCTGCTGGGAAGACGGCTAATATCGGGGTGCATGCGGTATTGGATGCTAAAAACCATAAGCGTATAGACTACTGGTGAAAGACGAAAGACATACCTGAGGAGGTGGACAGCATCGGGGCGGTGTTTCTGAAGGCGCACGAAGAGCGATTGATTATACCGGTACTTACAGGCCTTCAATCATGATCAGCATATATTCGGCAGGACTGCTTGAGCTCGGCTTACCTCCTGAGACAAAACTGTGGGAGGAAGTTGTTGTGGATCTAGACAGGGCTCAATGGGATGTCGGGAGAACGAAGGCATATTACTTACCACCAACCATAATGCATCTTTGACAAGGAAACTTGAGTGGAATCAATGAGCTCAACTCAATGGACTGGGCCGCTTCGTCGATGATGACCATTTCGAAATCAAGCTGTTCGAGCGTTTCATGCCCTGCACCTGACAAAGTGCAACAAATGACATCTGCCTCTTGGAGAACCTCCATCCTAACGCGCCTCCGTATAGCATCGAGTGTCCTAGAGTCCGATTTTTGTTTATCTTTCAACCGATCAAACTGCTGCGTCAGCGTCATCCGTCGTGAGTTTAGTTTCTTGATTTCTTCCTCCAGGACCACCATCCGGGCATTGTTGTCGCGAACAGAAGCCAGCTCATCCAACTTCTGCTGCTTGACCTGCTTGACCTGCTCGATTTCGCCTCGTAACACGTTTATCTCGTTGTGCGCATCCTTGGAAGTGTTGTTGGGAGTTTGCCCATTGAGCTTTTGTTCTACCAAGTAGTCAAGAGAAACTTCTTTCACGCTGATATCGATAGCCTTTTCTGTTCCAACTCGGACCACTTTAAGGGAACTTGCTTTCCGTTGAGGGCCTCTGTATCCTTCTTTGAGACGACCAGCAATTTCGTCAATGGCAGCATTGCTAGGTGCGCAGAGTAGGATTTTCTTCACGGACTCTGAAGAGGTTGCGGTTTTTCCAACATGAATGGATGTCGCTGCACGTGGACGCTTCTGAAGAAAAGCTTCGACGAGACCGCAGATAGTTGATGTTTTTCCAGTTCCGGGAGGTCTGTGGAGATTTTCATTCAAGATGCCGGTCTGATGCCAGATAAAACTTACCCTTGGATGAGCGCAAAACCATCTATCTTAAGCGATCCCATTATAGCTCGTGCCTGCGGCTCGTTGACACTGTATGCGGACATGGTGTGCTGTACCTCGTGCTGCTCAAGAGGTGGCATACCAGACAATTTCGGAGTTAATATCATTTGAAAGAGATCATAGTGGGGCAATGCCATAAGAGCTCCATACTCCCGGTGAAGAGTGCTCAAGCTATCGAGCGATAAGCAGTTATCGTAACACAGACAGAAAAACACACCTGAAAGCCTTCTTCAGGCTCCAAACAGTGTTGATATGCAGACCTATGTCGCCCATAGTGGAATGCACGAAGCAGCGGAGACCCATCTGCGATCCAATTGGCGTGGTCCTAAAACTCTGAACCTTCATCATGATCGACTTTTTACCCTCGGGATGTCGGAGTAACACGACATCCGTCTCCCCCAGCCGCCAATCTTTCTGGACAGGCTCCGAAATGGTTGCATCAAAGTCGACGAAATCATCGGTGAAGTGCTTGGAGGTGATTTTACAATCGTACACTCCTTCTACGTTTTCTTTGGCTTGAACAATTTGAGACCAACATTCTAGGAGTAACAAGGGCTCAAAAACTCGGAGATAGTGCTGATAGTCTTGGAAGGTATCGGGAACATGAAGCAATGGTGCTTTTTGGGCAACAGTGGGAGGGTTGGGACCATCGTGGTCGTAATTCCAAGATAGGAGGGTGCGATGCAGTCCGGTGATGTCTGGCTTCAAACGCAATGCCCGACGACGAGCATCTTCTCGACGGTGGAGACGCTCCATAGTTGCACTCTTGGCTTGGTTTTGAATGTCCAGTAACTTCACTTGACGTCTTTCCATGGGCTTCTTGACTTTTGGTGATCGCTGGAATTTACCCAAGGCGACCAGACCGCCCTGCACGGTTTCAGCCTCAGATCCAGAATCACTGGAATATTCTGATGAAGGGGCCGAGGGGAGTGTTGGTGCTTTACTGACGCTCGTCGACGTACTCGTTGATAACCGCTGGAACTTGGGAAATGCGCCCTTCATAACGTCGGGTTTGAGTTGGTCATTATCATTGGGTTTCCGACGAACGACATCACTTTGCTTTCGTGCTGCCGCCTGTACCTTCTGCGGTGGGGGTTCGTGGGGTTTGGTAGGTCGAGGCGGCGGCGCATGAACAACGGAAACGATTTCAACTTCCTTCTCCTCGAATGACGTCAGTGCGTCCTCTAACTGGGCTATTCGGCTTGCATCAAGTTTGGTCTTTGAAGTGCCGGACTTATCCTTGCGGGAAGCCTCGACGTGCCTGTTCAGCTTGGCAAGAGTAGCTTCCGATGGAGGAATATCAGTTGTCCGAAAACATTCGAGAAGCGTCTGAAGCAGCGCAAAAGATTGATGGAGAAGCTCTTCATCAGAAAGCCGCAGCCACCGTGCAAGCTCTGTAAGCACTGGCTGCAGATCGCTCATCATGTTCTTCCCCATCCGGGAAAGTTTTCGAACCTTTCCTGTTAATAACGAGGACGATTCATCCGTAGCAGTGACGCTAGCAGACTCCATTACTCTCCACTGCGCCAGAAGGTCTCTCCCAAATATGAGCGCATCTCGCATCCAGACTGTCATGTCCGGAATTTCAAAGTACTCTGACCAGAGAGGCGTGCGTTTGAATATCACGGTAATGGACCGTGTCATCAAGTTCCACAGACGAGGTATCTGTGCTGCAGGCGCTTCTTTGTCTTTTGACCGCAGGAATGAGCTGTCGTGTAACAGTCCGTCTGGACTGGAGCACAAAACCTCAATGACGTCGGTGAGACACTGCACAAGCGATTTGGAAAGGCTGCAGGCCTCCGGTACCTGTGGTGCGTAGTGAATGTATCGTTCCAGGAAGCTGAAGATGCCCTCAAACGAAGAGTCTGAGAGATTGGAAAGAAGGGCACGAAAGCAATCAATCCGAACGTCGACATCAAATGCTTGGCCAACAAGCGTCTTCGCAGCACCTTGGAGGTCTTCAATGGGAGACAGCATCAAGACCATGACATCGCATGCGACTCCAGGTCGACCCAAGACATCAAGAACGAATGACCTCTGGTTGTAGTTTGCTAGCTTGGATACTACATCAAGAAATCCGCTTCGAGAAATATCGAGGCATCGATTGATGGCATCAAAAGCTTGGGCATTTGGACTCGAAAGAACGAGTCTGTACGCGACTTTGTTCAAGAAGTCGATATGAGAGAACTGGGCAACAATGGCAATGATGGCGACGACGCCATCTGTGTCATTTGTCTGTAGAGACTCGTATGTCTTCTTCCACATTTGTTCTCTAATAGCACAGACGGGGAACACCTTCGTGCGTCCTGCCAAGAACTCGCAGGAGGTTGTGATAGATTTGGAAATTTCATTGGCGTCCTGAGTCAAAGACGTCGTGATGAGCTCACGAGCAGCGCTGCGAACTTCTTTCCACTGCGAATTTGCGTGCAAGCGACCAAAAGCCACCGAAATGAAAACCTCTGCATGAATGTCGAGTACACTTGAAACTGCCACGCGACGTGACAACGTCTCGTCAGACTGAGTTTTCCGCACCTGAGCGGCTAGTAACTAGGAACATTCAGTATAACGTCGGATAGGAAGATGAAAACACTAACTCGAACAGCGGAATACATGATCGCTGGACGTGCTTCCTGGAACCGTTCATGCTGCAATTCCTCACAAAGAAAATCCACAATTCTTGCTAGAACATCCTTATATATGGCAGAATCGGATATTGTTGCAAGATACTCCCCGAACCACGACAAGAACCATGGTTTTTCGCCTGCCGACTTGAGATCCTGTAGCATATCACTGAAGGAAGGATTGTCCTTGATTGCATCGAAAACGACCTGGGGATACTCTGGACCCTCGCCTTGCCATAACTTATTTCCTAAACGCTTGAGCAAGAAGAGTAGACACTTTAAGATATCAGAAAAATCTAATTTCACATTTACTGGGCAATCATTCCAACAAACGAAATCAACTCACGTCGTCCAATGTCGTGTAGATGGCCTGTCACGATTCTTCGATAGCCAATTTCTTCAGATGGTTTGGCGAGAACTTCCGTTGGGAGATGTCGCAGAATGTGGCTGAATCCAGCCCAAAGTTCGCTCGAGTCGGAGGAGAATGAGTTCGATATGACACTGTCCGTTGTCGTTCCTTCGCCTTCGCGAGACAGTGTCAAAGCCCTTGTGACTGCTTGGAGCGCCAATTCATGTCCAGCAACAAACTGGTGTTCTAACATTGGGACCTGGGTGCTTTTGGTGATTTGAGATTTCGCCCACTGTCTAACGGCAGAGGATTCATCTATTACGAGTACAAACAAACCAGGAGGAGGCGGATCCAGTGGCCAGATTGAGATGGGCGGGCAGGCACGAATAAGGGGCAAGACCCGAGGGTCGCGAAAGATGCGCATATTTGAGACCATGTGGTATAACAGAGGTTGAGGCACTTCTTGAGGTGTCTGAGAAGAGCTGGACAGGTCTATTCCAGTGCGTACGAGAGCCTCTACGACCACCGATAGTTCCCAGTCATCGAACTTGCTATAGAATGATCTGAGCACATCATCAGAGAATGCGCCAAAATAACTGCGGGATGGTCAGTTGAAAACACGCATTCTAAGCACTGTCTCGTTGAGACACTCACGTTGTCCGAGAGCTAGCCTTCACTTCCCCAAACCCTCTGATACACTGACAGCATCCTGAGAGACAAGACTTCAACCTTCTTTTCCAATCATCCACTCTGGGACTGTCGTATGCAAAGAGCCTTAGTAGAAATGTAGCAGCGCCAATGGTGAGCTGGTTGGCGCGACTGCAAAACCAGTGGTAGGTATTATCAGGTGCGGATGGTGGAATATTCATCAAATATAAATATAATGGCTGAAGAATATCTTCTGCTCCATCGACCGTATTCACGGGCGTGTCGCGAACTGAAGTAAGTAATGTCTTGACTTTGGAGAGTTCGACATCGGAGGTCATGAACGAAGAGGTTGGTAGTTGAAGTTTCTGAAGGAAAGCAGCAACCAAAAGCGGTCCGAGTCACGAGCCCTACATATGTATTTGCAGCTCAGTAATAAGCCGATATGATCTCAACCAGACGGTGTTAAGGTCTTCTCAGTACAATAACTCGTGGGCGCCTCATCATCGCAATATGGATTCTTGTGATGTAGAACGTCTTAACGAACTCTTGGAGCAGGATGTAGAACTGCGAGAGGTACACATTTAATTTTTATAATGATATGGGAACTCGCTGATCACCGCTGACCTCCAAAACTTCCCCCTTCTAGAAAATCAAGGAGCAAGTGACGGATCTGGATAAGAAGACTCGCAACATGGTCGGGGTTCTCAATAAGATCCATTCGACACCTCCCGAGTCAAGTTCTGCTATTGCTAACTCTTTTGGCTGATTACCGATGCCTATCTTAGTTCCAGGTCTCCTTGATAGTGTGCGCCCAATATTGCACAGTTGTCAGACCACCAGTGCTGCAATGGCTGCACTCATCCCCCCTAGCCAGTTCTGGCGATGGAAGGAAATGTGGACCAACTCTTTGCGCACTGCCATCTTTTCAGCTGCCTTGGTCGAATTTCTTGCAACAGGGAAACTCATTTCCCTGCCAGAAGTCTGCCAGATTCTAGGGAGTAAGCATTGTTTTCCTATCTGTGGTATGTGCATACTGACTATTCTATTCCGGATTCCAGTCAAAGATGAATGGAAGGGCCGATTTGCACTGCCTGTCGAAGATTATCTTCACGGTCTGATAAGCCTTGTGAACGAGTTGGTAAGTCAGATCATGTTGATTTGAATGCATTCGGTTGTTGTTTTCTCGCAACAGCCTTCTCCGATAGCTTTGGCGATTTTTACCCTCGCGATACGTTCAACTCACTCATCATTATTCTGTATAGTCTCGTCTCGCTGTAAACGCAGTGACCCTTGGGAACTTTGAAGCACCTATTCAGATATCTATCTTTGTGAAAGATCTATTCGCCGGATTTTCGATGGTTAGTTTCAAGTGTATAACTGGAAATAGCTCCAATGAATTTGATGGTGTCCAGTTGAATCTAAAGAATGACACGCTCCGGCGACGTTTTGACAGTCTGAAATATGATCTCAAGAAAATAGAAGAAGGTGGGCTCACACCGTGTGCGGGCTGTATGTCACAGTCTTTGACTACCTTTTGTTCAGTGGTATACGATGTCTCGCTCCGGAAATTGGCACCTCCTCCACAGGGAGGACATCAAATCTAAAACAATTTTAATGTAACAACGTTCGACAATGTTGTGTTCGCAATATCAATACTTGGATACTCCAGTAGAAAATGTACTAGTAGATGACTTGACCCTATCAACGGCGAACCCACTAAGATTGCACTAAGAGATTCGAAATTGACGTGATGATAGGGTGGCGGGGGCCCTCGGTCATTGCTAGGAGTAGACTCCGCGACAACTGTTTGTATTCAACTCCAAGACCGACATCCACGTTTTCACAGCCTTTCGTTCCACTTCGTACATAAACTCACCTAGAAATACTCGCTAACAACTATTTTCTGCACCTCATATAGCTAAAGTCAACAAGAATGGATAGAAGGCGTGTACCACCGCGACCTCAGGAAGGTATGTTCTCACGCTCAGATCATCGCCCTCAGACAACCCGAACGGTGCGGACTGCTCACTTAGCATCAGAGGTAGAATGCTGGTCGCAAGCATCTAAGTCATTGGTAGCATTCTCCAATATTTATGCCAACCCTAGCAGCCTCGAAACTATCGGGCGCGTCAACAGACTAATCTCCGCGTGGCCCACTGATGACGTCCTTCCGGCTGAAGGGTATGATCACTTGAAAACCAATTACAAACGGCTGTCTTCAGCCTTGAAAGATGTTCAACACATTAATGAAGAGGAAGTCAAGTACGCTGATTTCTTAGCCTCCCCGTAAAGTATCACATATTTTTTCCAGGGCCATCGAGAATGTTATCGAAAAACTCGACGTTTTGATAGCCCTTCGAAAAGCACCAGAGTTGCCCTCACAAGGTAATATTGTATTTTACCCTAATCTTTAGACTCTTGCTCAGCCAAGCACATTTTGTTCAGAGAAGCGAAACAAGCGCCCAAGGCCCCCATCACCTAGTACTGCCACGGCCACGTCAGTTACGCCACCCCTGATGTCTGCCACGCGGCCTATGACAACACAAGTAACGTCTTCGCGAAGCTCGACAGGCCCTTCTCCTGCTATCCCATTTTCGAGAGAGCCAAAGGCTCGCAGAGAAGCTCTTGCGAAGCAGCTGCCATTACAAGAAGGGCGAAAAGTTGCGTTCCATCCACCTGCGGGAAAGGCAGCTGACGGTAGCACGGCTGACGCTGATGAAACATGGATCCTGGCTGTTATCACAAAGTGTATAAATCAGGATAAGAATCGGTGGGGCTCATTTTTGGGGGGTGTTCTTCTAAACCTTATTATTTATTAGGTATGAAGTGCAAGACGTTGAACCTCAAGAAGACGGACAGCCTGGACAGTAAGTATTCATTTTTCATTATCATCATACGGAATATACCACTTGATATCAAACACCATCCTCAGATGTTATAACACAACCCTTCGAGCCATTATACCACTACCGGATCCGAACGCCTCTCCAACAAGTGCCGCGCATTTGAATGCGTATCAGGAATTCCCTGCTGGTTCGACTGTCATGGCGCTCTATCCAGACACGAGCTGCTTTTACAGAGCTGAGGTCATATCCCCCCCGAGAGACGTACCAGGACGCGTAAGATAGTCAAACTTTTACCGCGTTTACGTGACTCATTTAATTTAGGGTGTGACCACCAAGACCATTGCCTCGTACTACCAGCTCAAGTTTGAAGATGATGACGACCAAGAACATTCTGTTGCTGCACAGTGGGTTGTTGAGTGGCCCAAATCATGACTATATCACATGTCTTGGCATTAAGTATCTTTATTTACCATGATTTCTTGAATGTCCATGATGTTTCTAGGCAGTCTGCCAGACCAATGGAGATCGGGTTTAGTCTGACTTTGCAGCAATGTGTTGGGGACCCCGGACACTCGTTCATATGTTTATGTGACCTATGACGCGTTTTGTGGCAAGTTCTTGTATATACGCCGCAGGAGGTGACTCGTTTTGTTTAAACACCATCATGTCTATCGCTCGACAACTTCTACACGAGATCCGCCCTTTCTTTCGGATGCTGGAGGAACCTTTTGGCAGGTCCGCTGTAGGATCCATGTACCAACAGCGGTCTCTTTTTGATGACCCCTTCTTCCCGTCTCCTGCTGCCATACGTCCTCCAGTTGATGTAACAGAGGAAGGGGACAACTACATCATAGAAGCTGACCTTCCTGGTGTTAAAAAGGAGAACGTTGATATCAGGGTAGGTGATGCTGGCCGTAGTGTCACCATCCAAGGCAAAACCTCCTCTCGCCAAACCAATGGAGAATCAGACACTACCGCTGAAACAACTGGCAAGAACTCAGCTGAAGGTTAGTGAAATTCCTTCACACACCAAACCATGATTGACGCATCCTCTCAGGAGCCGTGGCAAAGACTGAGACAGGCACGCAACTTGCGATGGAGCGCCGATATCCGGGTAGCGCGACCTTCATTCGCACCGTCTGGCTGCCTCGTCCCATTGACAGCTCCAAAGTGTCTGCAAAGCTCCAGGATGGCATCCTCACCATGATTGTCTCAAAGGCTGAGGATCAAGAGAGTATCAAGGTTCCCATCGAGTGATTTTTTACAACCATTGATTGGCATTAGTATGGCAGACGTTTATTCTCACCTGCACAATATTGGTATCTGGCGTTCCTACTCCCTATCTCACTTTTTCTTGCTTCCTAATGATCTACCTTCGTCACTCAGCCCACACGATTACCGTCTGGTATTAGTAGCGGTTCGCTTGGCTTCACCTTGGTGTTTGACTTGTATGTACTTGTACTTATAAGTTAAGGTTAGTCCTCACTCAGTCTAAGTACTGAACATGATGTTTGTTTCACTCGCTGAGTCCTGACTTGCTCTAGCCTTTATACGATGTAGTTTTGGCTTAATCCTGGCATTTTTTGTGTCGTTGTGCCTTCGGCACAAGAAGCAAAAGGCACTTCGTGCTAAAAAGGAGCTTCCTTGCCCGCGCCTAATAATCTTTGTCTTTTAGGCCTAATTAGCTAGTGCCTTATGTAACAATCTATTTTTGATGATTTTGACGAAAGTACGGGAACGACTGCCGCCGAGTCTAATCCCTCTTCTACGGTTTCAACCTTTAGCGCTTAGCAACCAAGGTCCAAGACATCGATATATCAGCGCTATCTCATATTGTTGTTCACTGTCTCATGCATTCAACTCCAACTTACGTGTCGCTCATGACTCTGGGATCACGATGAGGCAAATGTCTAGCCTATCCAATACTCTATTACTCCCTAATTTGTGCGTGGCGGAAGCTCACTATGCAGAGTCGATCAGGCGCACCTTGTTCGATGCTCTCCCATCTCTCGATTTGCATTAATTTCAAGATTGCTTGTACTATGTTTCCTCACACGCAACTGAAGAGATTGCCGGCGCGGTCAAAATGTTTCCTGAGGGACACGAGGTACGTATCTAGCCTATTCACACCCTATCGCCCACCAATTTACGCGTGCTAAAAGCTCGCTATGTAGGTCGAACGTGCGTACCCTGCTCTACGCTCTCTCATCCCTCGATTTACATCAACTTCAAGATTGCTATGCACCATTTTGTCCTCACACGTAACTGAAGGCATCGCTGGCTCGATCAAAATGATCCCTGGATGCCTGGTTCTCGGAAGTGGAGTTATGACGACAGATGAGCAACAAGCGGAATATTTTGTTCTTATGCACCCTCGAAATAGTAGTATCTCGTGTATCAAGATGACTTTTCTTAAGCAAAGAACGTTCTGGTACGTCACTACGCTACCATCGAATGGCGCAAGGAAAGATCCTCGTTGGTAATAACAGTTCGCAGGCTGGGCGCTGATGATTGGGCGCAAGGCTGTTTGTTCTTATCTGACGCTGGTGTAGTTTATTTTCGTCCCCTTACATCAACGTCTCATGGTCGCAAGTAATATATCTGGACAGCATAATAACAGGGTGACATGCCACACTATTGTTCTTGATCATCAGAGCATGGTGTGCACATCTGCTAGCTATATATAACCTTATTTCTAAAGGTACAATCTTGGCATACATCGCCTCACTGATGTGCCTTCATATATTTCGCACGTTTCAATAATTTGTGGTTTGCTTCGATCAAGGACTTCTGATCATGAAATTACTTCTTTGTTCTAACCGTTTCATCGACAACAGTTGATGCAATCAATCAAGATTCTCGCTCAAGGAATGGATATTCAGACTAACCACTATAAAAGCACTGGATGGTGATGTGTCCGTACTAACTTCATACGCCCCATCCAGATATGACTGTAGTATCAAATGATCCCGCTTGGTTGCCCTTGATCAGTAGTCTAAGTTCTTCCAGTCATTTTGCAGGTCCGTAGAGAGCAAGTAGGATGAAGATGGTGACGTCTCACAATCAGTGACTGATTTTGCAGTTGTATCTTCTACTATGGTGCTATATGATTGGGGTGAGCAAAACAATACTTTCCGATGGCATGATATATATTTATACAGCATACAAGTATTGACATTCAGACAAGAGGTAAGTTGCAGTTTCATCAGCGCAGCCATCTCACTAATAATGCATCAACAGTTCGAACTGGTCTGGGTAAGCAAGGTTCTACATCAGAAGCAAACTGGATAATGCAGTTGGCTTGGAGCAGATGCAACACTGGTCCTTCATGACCGTTCTTTATGTCTGTGTACGTTATGTTATCAACGCAGTCGAGATGTTGTGCTGAGTTGACTTCAACATATGCTAGGTGCGTTACATTGGAATACTATATTCCGTGTAAGTTAGCAAGGCTAACAAGTCGGCATTGTACTGTACTAATGAGCTATATCTCACAATCAGGATCATGATATTATGCACGTATCCCCAACTACACTGTTCGTTTCTTCTAACTGATGGCATGTAGGGCATATCCCACACTCGCTGACAGATACAGTGGGTATTCTGCACTGATGGCTACCATTCTCATTCAATTACTAACTGCACTCCCACACAGAAGTGAGTGACATTCTCAACAGCCTTATTATGTTGAGCATAACGACTGAAACAGCTGTAAGTTCATTTGAAGCATCGAGTCCATTAATGCACATCAGTGATTTTGGTTTCCAGGCCTTATTGTGTTCTTTATACGGGAGTGGACGCCTATCGTCGCCAATGCTATTCTGGGCGGTGAGCTCACATGTGGTACCTTGCTGAGACCGACCTGACTGAAATATTGTGCAAGTCATAATGATGATTCGGATACATGCAATGTATGGACGATCCAAAAAGATGCTCGTCTTTCTCATTCTTGTCTTGCTGGCTTCCACGATCGCCTCTGTCGTTATGATTGCAATAGCAAACATCAGTGTTTCAGTGGGTAAGCTTTAGTTATCAATGAAAACTTCAAGTACATGCGACTCATGGCAAAATCCCAGGCGAATCCGTCCTTCTTGGCTTCCATATATGTCTTTGCTCATATGATAACATAGACCAGGTGGATCTGAATTTCGAGAGTGTGATATCAACCGCTATATGGGAGATCCTCATCGCTGTCCTTGCATTCTGGGTTTTCTTAAAACACTTCCGTGAGCTGCGACAATCTCCGACAGGACCGAATCTCGGGGACTGTTTTATGATGTTGTCCAAAAGTCACGCGTTTTACTTTGTAGTGTGAGTTTGGTGATTTGGATGTTATTATCTCGTTTTGCTGAAGTTCCCCATGTGCTAGTTTTGCCGTTGTAGCTTGCTTCAACCTAGGCTCAACGTCTACAAATATCATAGTGCGCCAACCTACAACTAAGCATCTGTGTCTGTCCGCTCATCATCATTTCTACAGTTCGCATCGTCTGCAGGAAGTATTGTTTATATCGGTATTCTCCAAGTTGCCCAGGTGTTGCAGATGTTTGTGCTGGGACCGCGTCTGATTCTCAGCATTCGCAAATATTACGCCGAGCTTGTGGCCACGTCCGACGAGGGAATAGGCATGACGACCATTCGTTTCCAGGCTGGTGGCGATGTGTCAACTAGCAGAAATATTTAGCACGGCTATCCAAATGATCAACCCCGGTTATTAAGAGTCTCGTCGTGGTATTTATTTGGTGATTTGGAGGATTGAGTTAGGATGCTGTAGTACTATTAGAATTATCTGCCCAGTCATGAATGAAACGTCCCGTGATTTACATGAGGATATTATCTTTTGCACACACCCATGCACATATCATTTGTCAGTACAGACAAAGACAATAAACTTTGTGAAGATTAAAACGTTAACGTTCAAGTTTGAAAATTGGGGCATGTAGAAAGAATGAGTTGTGCTAGAATGCGAGAGCAGGAAGGCGGCCAAAGGCTGCTACTTGGGCAAGCGAGGCCATGTGACTCAGAGCCACGCGAGGTTGAGGCTGTGCCATCGTCCCCCTTCTATGCAAGAGAACTATACCTTTCAGTCAAACAATAAGGCGTAAGGGCAACGACGCAGGCCCCCATGACCCACTTCAACAACCTGAATGAAATTAAATCTTCGGACGAGTACCATGTCTGAGGACCCTAATTTCATGGAATCTACTCTTGTGCAGCACAACTTGTACCAGTGATTATCAAGCTTTCTGCGTGGTCGTTGAGGTAAATCGATCGGTGGTCGGGTGAGAGCGCTTGAGAAAGAAAATGTAAGTTATAGCCAAGCCTTGTAAGTTGTGTGACGCCCACATGTTGGACACATGCAAAGTGTTCTTCCTCCGCTCTGCACCCGAAGCGGTCACTGGCAGCTACAACAACACTGCGTGACCTGGGTCCACTCCGAACCAAATTTCACCAGGCCTCCCGGTGATGGCAGCATACTACGCCACTCCTTCAAGTTCCATAGTTGCCCACACCTCTGCCTTACAACCCTATGGGCAATGCTCTGAGCTGAGCGTTCCAAACCCAAACGTTAGCGTCTATGATTTACCAACGGACTCCGAAAATGAAGCAGAGGTGGATGAACTGGAGTCCGACACAGATCCCGAAGACGAGCTCGCCGCAAGCGCCTCCGCCAACCAGAAGAAGAGCGGACGACGGCTTGGGGAACGTGTCCCCGGGACAACTCTACTCCCCCCTTCCAGAGTAGAGAACATAGTTCAACCGGATAGTACGTTGAACAAAATATCTTAATCAGCGCTCGCGTTAAGTAACTTTTCAGCCAGCATTACGATGTCGAAGGAGGCGCTGTTCGTTTTGTCGGTTGCAACAGTGAGAGAACCTGTTTGGCGGTTTTGCAGTGCATCTGAACGTTGCATTTTCACTTTCAGGAGGAATTCATAAAACGAATGGCCCAAGCTGGCCACAGACAGGCGGCAGCAAAGCGTCGAGGGACTGTAAATTACTCAGATTTGGGTGAGTGAACGTGTCTTTTCTAACTTTTGACTACAACTGCCCCGTCAGCGTGTTCCACTCAACAATATCAAGAGTTCATGTTCTTGCAAGGTTTGTACGTCATTCGTCTGTCTCGTATCGTCTAACACAATTGTTCCAGACACCATACCTGAACCGATATCCTTAGCAGAGGCACTTGACAGACGGGCAATGAAGGAGAAGGAAGACTTGGAGGCCAATCCAGCGATGTCCACCACCCACCGACAGTCACCTCCTTTCATAACAGTATCTGCACCCCACTTAAATGGGAAGCCAAAAGCCAAGCCAAGACCGTCAGTCACTAATGGCAGAGAAACGTCAAGTGCAAGTGCAAACGGAAGCTCTAGGAGAGAGCATAGACGGAACGAGGATGGGATGGATGGTGTTGTGTCAAGAAGCCGGAGCACGAGAGTTGCGCATGAGGATCGTTATGCCGGACCAGAAGAGCACGCGTCAAGTGATGCGGGCAATGAAACAGGTGTACATCAGGCGGCTCCATCACCGAGGCATCCAACCTCAGGCCTCCAGGACACAGGACGGTCACCTCACGAGTTTGCACCCAACTGGCCTGGCCATTACACTGGCCCCGCAAGCGGCTTTCTGCAGGATGCACATGGAGGGTTTAGTCGAGGAATTGCTAGTCAGAATCCCGGGCGTACTATTTACTCACAGCAATCACGTCCAGAAAATGGATCGTATCAGTAGCATGTGCTGAATTGGCTAGTATATTTCTTCGACGCGAGTAGATTGTCCTACTTAGACTTATCCGCGTTACTGTAACCTTATCTTATCTTCAACGAACTATTTGGCACAGCCATTCACATTCGACCGTATCTTGACTTAAACCTTCTTTGAACCTTACCTCAAGGCTATCAGATCGATGACACACACTTTAGCAACCCTCCCAATCATCGACATCGCGCCTTACCTCGACACTGAGCGTGATCTGGCGAAATGCCAGTCCACATCAGACGCGCTACACAATGCCTGTGTCAAGTACGGGTTCTTCTATCTAGACATTTCACAATTCATAGATCCCTCAGAACCTGAGGAGTTGACCCGACTAGCCCGAGAGTTCTTCGAACTGCCACAAGAAGAGAAGGATAAGATTGGTCTGGAGCACCAGGATAATGCTAGAGGTATGTCACAGCTGAAGCGGTCTCCGAATCAAAAATCTTGAGCTTCTTATCTAGGATACCAAAGACTCAAGCAGAATGTGACCAACGGCAAGGCGGATAACCACGAAGGAATTGATTTGTACAAGCCTGTTGAGAAGCCAGACAAATCCAAACCACTGTGGGGGGAGAATCAATGGCCTGATGTCCCTGGATTCGAGCATAAATACGAGCAATGGATTGAGAAGATGAAGAAGCTTGGCCTCATTGTTATGGAAGCGTACGTTCTTGCTAAATCCATGGTATTTTCTTCCCTATATGCACTCTCATAGGATGTCTGTTGGACTCAAGATGACAACAGAAGAATGGCAGGAGTTGCGAGCTCAAGTAGATGATAGCTTCTGGGTAATGCGAATAATCGGTAAGCATCATTTGGCTGAAGTTCGTAAACATTGGCCCTGCTTAGCTATATGAAAGGCTATCCTCCACTTCCAACTGACGACGATGGTTTCTCCTGTGGAGCACACAAGTGAGATATTGTTGGCTTTCTGATATGTAGATATGCTGATGCACATGCATTGACAGAGACTATGGTTGCCTAACGTGAGCTACGAGTGAAAAGCTCAACAATCATGTCCCTGACGTCGATTCCTAAGCTTCCTATACGCCGATCCTACTAGAAGTGCTCTACAAGTGTTCTTGCGACAATCAGGCACGACAGCATCAGATTTGGACGGCCTGCCAGCAGAGCATGGTACAGAAGAAGGGTTGTGGATAAACGCAGATCCTGTTCCCAATTGTGTCGTTTGCAATATCGGCGAGAGTATGTTGCTGGTATTTCAAACGTCCTCACTAGCTAATGTAAATCACTCAGTGTGGGAGATCTGGACAAATGGATTGTACAAAAGCACGTTGCACAGAGTGGTTCACAGAGGATCAAATTATCGGTAGGTGTTGCGCAGCTCTTTGTTGAACTATTTCTGATTAATTTGTGTAGTGTCTCGTGCGAATCTGCCATTCTCTGCGATATATTCGTTTACTGATATACCGACAGAATACCGTTCTTCTTTGAGCCCAACTTCACCGCGAATATCGCCCCACTTCCAGCAGCTCTGCGTCTTGTGCCTTCTCAAGACAAAGAACCATCGAACGAAGGAAAGACCTACAAACCCGTTGTATATGGCGATTTTTTACTCAGGAAAGTTGATGCCAATTTTGCATTAGATGGTAAAGGGAAGTACGATTAGTGATGATCATTTTTGTAAGTGAGTATTGATACAAGTGTTTGTCTCGCCCTCGAATTTTATCACATCTTGTGAAGATCTGCACCTGTAAACTCTGAGATCTCCGTATGCAGCTGCTATAGCTATGTATGAATCGCCAGGATACTTAATTAAATTGCCGTGCTTGCCCGACGGAATCATTTTAGGAGGCGTATCCGTCACTGTAATCCTCGTAATCAATGAAATCATCATCATAATCTTCTGTATCAGTGAAGTATTCTTCATCGCTTTCGTATTCATCCCAGCTCACATCGGCCACCACCTCTCGCAACAACTGCACGTCGCGGGCAAATATACCCGAGGTTGAAATGATCGTAAGGTGCTCTAACCCTCGACCTTCGTTGACGCGATCCATGAGCACGTCAAGGAGGTCAGAAGGCCGCATCCAGCTGAAGACGGAGGAGCTGAACTCCAGGTCGTGAAGGACAAGATGGGATAGTGCTGGGGAGAAAATGGGTCCCTGCTGTGGGCGCCCGCTTATGGGCCGCGACACACTGTGCTTCCGTGAACGCAGGGATTTGAGAAGTTCTTCGAGAGCTTGATTTGGGCCTCGCAAGTACATGTATGCAAGATTACGAGCACCGCCACGGGTAAGAATATCAGCCCAGAAGCCATCCCAACAAGCGAAGAAAAAGTCGCAGTACATAGCCTCGATACTCCCAAGAGGAACGACCCTCCCCAAGTCGCTAAGGATTGTTCTCCTCATCTCAATGGGAAAGTCAAAGTCAAGAATGACAGGGCACTCCGCCGACAAATCCGCATCATGACAAGACATTTCCCTCGCCCACGAGGAAGGGTTTCGGACAGTGCTATAATGCAAACGAATGCAACTACTAGGGGAAGATAGTTGCATGGAACGAGGGACTTGTCGAAAGTCATTTGGAGTGTCTTTGAAACAACTTTCCAAGGCACGAGAGATGATAGGGAGGCTCAAATTCCATTCTTGGTTCGGATCTCCTGAGGATGCTCGGCATACTAGTCGAACTTCCGATGTTATCGATTCAATGCAAGTTAGCACGTTGGCCACTTCCGACATTTTTGCCGTCAAACGCAATTGTTTCAAGTGGAGGAGTTGAACATTCATGGTATGAGGTGTGCGGGGTAGCGACACCGTATGGGGGGAAAGAATCGGGAGAGCATCTTCTAGTGTAAGGGTATGCAGAGCAGGCATACGACGGAGCGCAGAGACCAACTCGTCTAAGGTCGGAAGGCGTTCCAGTGATACTTTTTTGATGTGAAGGACAGTGAGTCCTGTGAGGACGGAAGATGCCCATGACAGATCACAGTGCTTTATTTGGAGCTTGCAAAGGTTGGGTGCGGGGAAAGAAATCGGGATTACTATCCGTGGTGTTTGTTTATCCCCTACGTCTAAAGCAAGAGATTTTAGTCTGGGAGCGGAGCATGATGATAGCTTGTCAATAAATTCCATGATACAACGGTGCCCCGCAGTATCACCGTGCAAGAACTGAAGAGAGACCACTTGCAAACGCTCTATGTGCATCAACGCCTTTTGGATGGCGTCTATACGATATCGCCGACCGATTTTCAAGTTCAATGGAGCCATTTTGGACCTCGCGAGCATTTCATCAGTGGCTGTTGAGGAGTTGAGAAACGGGGTGGCCCATAGCTCGGCTATCCCGAGAGCAACCCCGCGCCAATGGCGACAAATGTGTCCGACAATGAGCCATGAAAGAATATCAGGGTTGTCAGGTTCATGAAGAAACTGCGTCTGCTGAGCATGATGAACGAAAATTGCGCTAAGGAGCTCTGGAGGGAGAGAGGATATGGGAGAGAGATTGTTGCGGCACGTCCGAAGAGCTCGCGTTCTCTCTTCAAGGGCAACAATTTCATCGTCAATCTCTATTTGAGCTCTCGAGGCTAGCACAGGACTGTCTGGAATTACTTTTGGACAGCAAAGCGTCATATTGCAGGCGAAAGGACTGGAATGGTGACTGGTCACCAGTTTTGAAATGTTAACCAAAATCTTCAAAGTTTCAACTGGCACGTACCACCACGTACTGATAGTGCTGAACCACCGGGTGGTTTATTGACTGTTTTTCTTTCTTGGGTCAAGGGCTCGGAGACGGCTGTGGGTAAGTGCCAATTTTGAATTATCCTAGGGTGACTCAGGCTCGAATGAATGAGACGCTCACATAATGAATTATATTTGGCCATCTACGCTCACATTAGTAAGCTCAATGAATGGCAGAGTCACGTGCAATCAGTGGATGTCAATGTATACTTTGACTCGATCATTCCATCTTCTGATTCCTCATCGATTGTCAACGCAATTAATCGCGCGACCCCGTCCATTGGCGCGAGAAATGTCTTACGAATCTTCTGTTTCCAAACTTCCTTCCTCACTGAAGGATCTTGTCGTGACTTCGCAAGTAGATGTCGGAAAGACTGAAGCCGACAAGGCTGAAGTAGCGCAGTGGATTGAGAAGCTTGCGGAAGAAAAGGTTGCTCTTCAAGTAAGCCGTATAAAGGAATTGACCTAAATTGCCTGATGAGCCAGTATTGTTGCAGGATCTTGAGACCCAACTTGTCCCTCGCACATATATTGTGAGCAACTATCTTACTGCAGCAGATGTTGCTCTATATGGAGCGCTGCACCCAATCTTTGTTCGTGACCATTACAGTATCTATTTTTTCCGAAACTTATGCCCATAATTCCAGACGCAGCTACAACCTGGTTACGACTATCCTGCAGTCACGCGTTACTTTGATCACATTCAAACGCGACCATCTGTACTGGCTGCTGCAAGTGCACTGTCTCCACCATTTTCTCTTGTTTCTTTTGACTTCTCGTCTGCCCCTCCAATTGAGAGGAAAGTGGATGCGCCGAAGAAGAAAGAGAAGGCTGCAGCTGTGGCTGAGCAGGCCGAACCGACACCTGTAGTGGTATCAAAAGAGGATAAATCACCCGAAGATAAACCCAAGGAAAAGAAAGAAAAGAAGAAGGATGCGGCCGCTGCGGAAAGCGGAGGCAAGAAAAAAGAGAAAGCTTCTGCTCCTGCTGGCGGCAAGGCTGTTGCTGAAGATGCCGGTGAACCTGTGCCTTCAATGATTGATATGCGGATCGGTCACATTGTTGACGGTGAGCTGGTCCCTGCTTTAGAATTTTAAATACTCATCAACAATTTTGACAGTAAAAAAGCACCCTGAGGCTGACAGTTTATATATCGAGGTAAGCTATTTCCCTATAGTAAAGATTGATTATAATGAATGTATGTTTCATCAGCAAATTGACCTCGGTGAGGAGATTGGTCCACGAACGGTTGTTTCTGGTCTCGTGAACTACATACCTATTGAAGAAATGCGGGATAAGTACTTGGTTTGCATCGTGAGTCGCCGTTATGACGACATGAACAGATGGTTGACCTTCCACCTAGTGCAACTTGAAACCCGCGAATATGCGTGGAGTGAAGAGCTTTGCGATGGTCCTAGCTGTAGGTTCATTGTATAATGGCGTATCTCTATCTGACATCGGACAGGCAACATCAAAAGATGGGAAGGACGGTGGCGTTGAGCTTATCCAACCTCCGCCAGGCTGCAAGCCAGGTGACCGGGTGTACTTTGAGGGCCCTGATTACGAAAGTGCGAAAATGTTCCTAGGTCTCCGCTCTGTGTGCTCAGACTGCTTTATTTCAGACGCCCAGCCATTGGCTCAAATGAACCCCAAGAAAAAGATATTTGAGACAATTCAACCAGGTGCGGACTACTTTTCTCCAGAATCTTGAATGTTAATAGATAGGGTGTCTTAGGATTCACGACGCTAGATACGAAGGAGGCAGCGTGGATCAACCCCGTAACCAAATCAGTTCACAGGATCCGTACCAAGGACGGTATTTGTGTTGCTCCGAACTTCGTTGGAGCATCGTTATCATAGATAACACAGGTGTAGAGACGTAGCCGAATGACCTCATGCAAGGTCTATCAAATATATTCTACATATTATAAGGACGGGGCGATTTCGAAATTGGTGTGACTGCCATGTGCGCACGACTTGAGCACCACTGACGCTATACAAACCGCGGGTGAAACAAGGAACAAACTGGAAACCACTGATATTATCCAGCGTGATTGAGGCTTGTCGCATGCTTCCACATAGCTTCCATCAATATTGTCCCAACGTTGACAGCGTATGCAACTAGCCAAAGCGCCGTGACGGCGCGGCAGATCATGCTTTGAGAAGCAAAGCCTGCTATCAACATCGCTGGGTGGAATGCATGAGAGACCAGAGAAAGCCTCAATTGATGGAACAACTCACCAAACATGAAACAATGCAGGGACAAAGTGACGAAGAATATAGGCGTGACTATCGACAACAGGTAGGACAAGACGAAGTAGCCACCTTGCTCGAGTTGCTGATCATATTTAGGTCAGCCGGGGCAATCAGTATGGCGAGAATAAGACATACTTCTCGAATCCAGTAGCGGTCAGCGTGCAGCCAATGCATCATGCTCGAGCCAGATGTCAACATTGCGATCATGGCGAGCATGAGCGATATAAAGAGCAGACAATAGGGAATGGGTGACGTGTAGTCAAAGTATGACACAGGAGAACCCGTGCTGACGAAAACACTGCTTATAGCGAGAAGGACACTCGCCTTTATGAGAGCATATCAACGTCGGCTTCAGTCTGCGACAGGCGCAGAGTTGGATAGCTTACCATGGTGATAGTGCAGGCCAGGATAGAGCATGACCTGTTCCTAACGGTTTCGAAGGCTTGCTCTGATTGCAGCGACTTTCAATGATCATCAATATCTGGGCGTCCGAGTGCCAAAAAACAGAGTACCCTCGTTAAGAGGGACGTGCGATGAAGGGCTTCAGGGAGGAATTGTTCCTCGGCAGATGCTGCGTCGTCAGCAGCCACATATGACTGGAAAGGTTGGCATAATTGAGCTATATGGCAAGGATTCTTAAGTTTTGGAAGCACACCTGAGTGGAATATAATGAGGCCATGGCGTGAAACAGACGAGTGAAGAGAGACCGATGCTCATACTGAGAACAGGGAGATGCTGTTATAAAGAAATGACAGATAATGCAGTGATGCGATTAACCTTATGTAATATTATCTGAGGACGTCGTTGCACAGGAAGTTAGTAGGACTGCATGGCTTCAAGCTTGGCTTCGGAGTGACATAACTTCCTTTTGCACCTGGATCCGTCATTTTTCTACTTGGAATTCCTGGCTTAGCTAATCAGATTACTTATCCCCCTTTACTTACTTTACTTGGGCCCTAGCGAGCAAGATCACGCCAACTGGACTCCATGAGTGTATGATTTGTCCATATGGGAACCCTTCACAGGTATGTAGCTATACTATCTCTAAATCCTTACCATAGTGTTATATATTGGACATGATTCACTGCTAACTATGATCCTTAATCGCCCCTTGGACCAGTACCAAGTGGCACTCCGACTGGGACCCCGAAAATCAACAGTCAGGTTCAACAATGGCGGTGACGCCAACGTCGTATCAAAGTTCCTTCCTCCTCTTTTCTTTCTCTTTCTATTCTTCTTCTCTCCTACCTTCAAATAAAAATACACTAGACACGAAAAACACAAAAACATAAGGAAAACACAAAGTACAATGCCGCCTAAAGCCAAAATAATACAAAAAACAGCTACCCAAGCAACTAGAGCATCATCCAGACTAGAAATGAATGAAATAATAGCAGCGGAAAGCGATGTAACAGATGCGGTAAGTGCTCGTACACATCTAGAACAAACGGCCATGGCCATCAGCGGCAAACCCTTCTCTATTGATAAGCTTTCAGACATCTTATTTCATATCACCCAAATGCCCGGAGTCACCTTACCAGTTCAGTTAGCGATTAGAGCAGTTGCATTCCTATTAGAAGACATGGCCGAAATGGAATCAGCGGACAAAATATCCAAGCTCGTTATTGCCGCAATCTCCCCCCATATTGCCAGATTCCAAGAAACATCAGAGAAGACACTAAATATGACTATGCAGCTAACAGAAACACACACCAAGATTATACATACAGCCTCGCAACTCGACAAAACCCAAGAAAAGATTTCGGAACTAACTACAAATATCAACACAGGAACAGCATCAGAAACGACAAACATAGACTCAAGACTCGAAAAGGTACAGGAAGCGATGTCTACACTAACAACACAGGTCAAAGAAGCAAACCAGGGCGGATATAAGACAGCCCTGATGAAAGGAATCGATGACACCAACCTGGACCCTCAAGCTGCAAAACGTGCATCAAGGAGCGCAATTAGAGCAAGGCAAGTACTCATTGACATCCCCAAAGACAGCAACCTAGCACCAGGAAAAATATTGCACGACCAACTAGTCGAGAAAGTCAAAGAAGCCCTCAAAGCCATCACTAAAGAAAACTCTCCCGACCTCGACTTCCGCGCAATAACTCAATTCCGAAACAGAGGAACAATGATTGAATTTCAATCCAACCAGGCGGCCGAATACCTCAAAAACAAAAACCACAAAGAAACATTCATCCAAGCTCTAGACCCCAATGCAAGCGTGAAAGAACGATCATACCCGGTAGTTGTTCAATTTATCCCAATAACATTTAACCCCAGCAGCGCAGAACAACTATGAGACCTAGAGAACGAAAACAGATGGAAGGAGGACTCGATCATCTCGGCACGCTGGATAAAACCTCCTGCCAAGAGAACACCAACTCAACGAGTAGCTCACCTAATCATCATCCTGAACGACCCGAAGATAGCTAACGAAGGTATAAGAGACGGCATTACACTAAACAAAAACAAACTACAGATCAAAAAGAACAAACGAGAACCAATACGTTGTGCGAAATGCCAACACTATGGACACATCACCAAGGAATGCCTCTCCCACAAGGATACATGCGCTAACTGTGCTGAAGAACACAGAACGACAGAATGCAACAACTGAGACCAAACCAGCTGCATCTCATGTGAATCGAACGACCACTCCAGTTGGGACAGAAACTGCCCGGAATTCGAAAGACGATGCAACCTACTAGACGCCAAGGATCAAGACAACACTATACCATACTTCCCAACCGACGAATCTTGGACTCAAGCATCAGCACCACCCAAAGTGACACCATACATCAGGACAACCCCTCCTCCCCAATCGCAACAAGAACAAGAAACCTACCCTCACACGCAAGGAACCCTGGACCGACACTTCAACCAACGCGGAACAAGATCATCAAGAGGAGTGTATCACCTCCCTCGAAATGCAGGAATGTCAGCCAGAAGATCCCCCAACCATCGATCACCAATGCCAGATGCCTACCTCTCCCAACATCAATATGCATAATACACCGGACGAGCAAACTGTAAGATTACGAATATGGCAAGAAAACTTAAACAAATCAAGCACAGCGCAACACTGTATACTGAGCAGACCCTTCACAGCAAAGGCATTTGACATTGTAACATTACAGGAACCCTACATCGATGGACTCGGAAACACGAAAGCTATGCCAGACTGGAACATCGTCTATCCCACCCACAGGTACACCCATCAAAGTCGGTCAAGAGCGGTAACACTAATCCATAAGAGAATCAATATGAACAACTGGAGACAACTACCCTTCCCGTCACCGGATGTTGTCATCATCCAAATGAAAGGCGAATTCGGAAAAATCACCATCCTCAACCTCTACGATGACAGCACAAAACGCGAAGTGATCCCCGCCATAGCTACATACCTAGAGAATGAAAGTAGAAGTATCCGTCCTTCTCCCGCTGACCACATAGTTCTTCTAGGAGATTTCAATGCTCACCATCCGCTATGGGAGGAATCAAGAAACCATCACTTATGTGCCCCACAGGAAGCCCAGAACACAGCGCAACACATCATTGAACTCATGGCTGACTACGACCTACAAATGGCCCTCCCAAAAGATAAACCGACACTCCAGTCTACGAGCAGTGGAAATTGGACCCGACCCGACAATATCTTCTGCACATCGCATACGCTAGACTCATTCACCGTCTGCGACACAGCACCAAGACGCTGACCGCCATGTACTGATCACATTCCTATATATAGCACCTTAGACTTAAACATACCTCGCTCGACCACCACCACCACCTTCAATTACCGTGACGTTGATTGGGATGAATTCCGTGGCAGATTACAGCTACACCTATCTACATACCCCGAACCGACAGCCATCACCACGGAAGAACAATTCCAAATAGCTGCAGCGAACCTCAACAACGCACTGAAACGCACGATCAAAGACAAGGTTCCGAAGACCAAACAAAGCCCGCATGCCAAAAGATGGTGGACGAAAGAACTCTCACAAATGTTAAAGCATAAGAACAAGCTAAGTGCCCAATCGTATAAGCTAAGGGGACTACCTGATCACCCAATTCATGAGGAACATCGATGATACCGCAACATAGTAACAGAAGCGATTCGTAAAACCAAACAAGAACATTGGATAACCTTTCTCGAAGAACTTGATCAACAAAGCATTTATACGGCCAACCGCTATGTTACTAACCCAATAGGTGATGGCGGAAGAACAAGCGTCCCCGTGCTCAAAACCATAGACGCTAATGGAAACATACACGAAGCCGTAACGAACGAAGAGAAAAGTAAAGCCCTAGCTAAAGCCTTCTTCCCCCCTCCCCCAGAATCAAGCACAGTCCCCATGGATTACGACTACCCAAACCCGATCGCACCTTTCGAACCGATCACAGAAGACCACATAATGAAAGCGATAACCAACACCAGCTCATACAAAGCCCCAGGACCCGACGGAATATGTAATATAGTCTTCAAACGCGCATCAATGATCCTTACACCATATCTATACCACCTCTTCAACGCAGTCTTCAACCTCAGTACCTACTACGAACCTTGGCGCGAATTCACCACAGTAGTACTCAAGAAACCAGGAAAAGCAGACTATTCAATCCCAAAAGCGTATCGTCCCATAGCTCTAATCAATACGACATGCAAATTACTAACAGCCATAATCGCAGAACAAACGTCTAACCTCATGGAACACCACGAACTCCTACCCAAAACACACTTCGGAGGAAGACCAGGCCGCACAACGACAGACTCGCTACACCTACTAGAAACCACCGTCAAGAACGCATGGCGTAGCGGAAAAGTCGCATCAATCCTCTTCCTCGACATCAAAGGAGCATTCCCGAATGCAGTCACGGACAGACTGGCTCACAATATGAAGAAACGACAACTCCCCCCGGAAATAATTCAATTCACGATATGTATGCTCACAGGACGAAGGACCCAACTCAAATTCAACGACTTGCTATCCGACTGGATCGAAGTAAGAAACGGCATAGGACAAGGAGACCCACTTTCAATGATAGCATACCTTATATATAATGCTGATCTGATTGACATCGCAGAGCCCCAGAACAAAGAGACCACCCTAGCCTTCGTAGATGACACGGCGTACATCGCTGTGGGCCCAACATTTGAAGATACCCATAGAACGCTCAAGGACATGATGGAAAGGCCAAACGGAGCGCTGCAATGGTCCAAAGATCATAACTCTCGTTTTGAAGTAAATAAATTTGCACTAATCGATTTCACTCACAGTAGAACACGCGAACGCCCCCCACTCATCATCCGAAACACCACCATCAATCCTACCGACCATCACCGATTCCTCGGATTGCTAGTCGACCAAGAACTGTCCTGGAAATACCACACGGATTACGCCACCGCAAAAGGCACGGAATACGTACTGCAACTAAGACGCCTCTCAAGACCAACCAATGGAGTCTCTGCAAAACTCATGCGCCAACTCTACCTAACGGTAGCAGTCCCGAAGTTCACCTATGGCGCTGACATTTGGTTCAAACCAATCTACAGGAACAACTCGACGACAAAACAACGAGGATCAGTAGGAATCGCTAGAAGATTGGGAAGAGTACAAAGAACTGCCGCGCTAAGTATCACAGGTGCTATGAAGACTACTGCTACTGACATTTTAGACACACATGCGAACCTACTACCAATACCCCTTCTCCTCCAGAAAGTATGTCACCGCGCCGCCATCCGTCTCGCAACCCTGCCACAACGACACCCCCTAAATCCCCACCTGAAACACATCGTCAAATACCAGAACATCGCCCGTCACCGTTCATCACTTCACAACCTCATTGCCACGTATCAAGCCTATCCAGAAGACGTCGAAACACTGGACAAAATAAGCAAATCGAATACGCACCAGCCAAACGTCTACCACACACACATAACGGAAAAGGAGAAAGACGCAATAAAGGAACAGAAGGAACTCACAGACGAAATTCAAATATTCACTGACAGATCCGGCCATGGCGGGAAGATCGGGGCAGCAGCGGTACTAATGCGTAGAGGTAAAGCGCCACAAACACTTAAGTATCATCTAGGATCAGAAAGGAAACATACTGTGTACGAAGCGGAAGTAGTAGGACTAACATTAGCAGCAAAACTCATAGCAACAGAACAGAACGTGACATACCCCACCTCAATCTTCGTCGACAACCAGGCTGCTATACGATCCGGTGAGAGCCAATACATGAACTTGGGCGGATATCTAGTGGAACACTTTCGCAGGATGACCAGACAGCTAGCGGAAAACAGGAGAAGCAGAGGACTCAACTTCAATCTCACGGTAAGATGGATACCAGGCCATAAAGGAGTGGAAGGAAACGAGCTAGCGGATGCAGCGGCGAAAGAAGCAGCACAAGGACGAAGACATGCAAGCATTAGAGAAAGACTCCCAACCTACCTGCAAGACGAGGAACTCCCTGACAGCGTATCGGCACTGAAACAGTGGCATCAGGTGGAGTTAAATGAAAGATGGAAGAATGAATGGAAGAAGTCCCCACGTTACGCGCAAGCGGCAACCATAGACCCAAGCATGCCATCCAACAAATTCATCAAACTCGTAAACACCCTACCAAGACGCCAGACCAGTATCTACACCCAACTTCATACATGCCACGCACCGCTAAATCAACATCTTCATCACATAGGCAAGAGTCCCTCTCCGCACTGTCCCATCTGCCCAGGAACAAATGAGACAATACACCACTATCTATTCGCATGTCTGCAATATGCCAGAGAGAGGCACATACTTTCGAACACCCTCAGATGCAAAGCCAACTCCCTCACCTATATCCTAACATCCGAGAAAGCGACGGAACCGCTTATGAGATACATCAATAGTACAGAATGATTCAAACCCACATTCGGTGAGCTCCCATTAACCTAAAGAACAGTAATTCACGCAAGCACTGCAACAGATCAGAATACATACATGAAAACACATTAATATGTACCACCAAATGTACTAACACACCCACACTTCGAGACCGGAGGGAATGGCGCTTGCAGGACGAAAGCCAATGTAAGAAGGAGAGAGTAGAAGGAAAGAAGGCCTAAGATCACCAAAATGCGCACACGTCAAGAAACGTGCCATACCATGCCAACCAACCTACCATACCAACTCCCCATCACATACTCCCCCTGTACGAAATCAGTGTCGGCCTTTGCCTGACAATATGCTGACGGAGTACGCGTTCAACCACACACCAAACGCATAAGATTACATACATACATACGATAGTAGATTGGGAGCAAGCCCCCCGAGTAAAGGGCTAAGTCCAACATAGGGTCTATGACCCCAAAGGACAATAAACTGGATTTAAAAAAAAAAAAAACTATGATCCTTATTTTTTGGAGGTCATTGACTGCAACTATAACCTGCTGCTTTGATCCTAAGTACTAATCTCTTGCTGCTTCAACAACTTGGTGATTTAACAGTATAAAATGAAGAAAGACTCTATATTTCTTAATACTCTATTTACTCCATCATTATGGTTAATCAGTCCACTACCAATATCATAGTCTCACTTGCTGAGGTCTACTCTATATATTCAGAAACTTCAATGTATCATTAGTGGTACTCAAAACAAATTTTGAAACTTTTGAAAACTCGCTTAGACGCCGGCTAAACACTTCAAACTCTCGGCAAAAGTTCTGAAAGAACTTGCTTAAGAACACTTAAATCATGCTCGGCAAGTCGGCACGAAGTCGGACATTGAAACACTTAGCATTTTCAAAGCGTGACATATACACAGGGGAAAGTCATACTTTAGAGGGTAGAAAAAGTAACTATGATGTACATTTGTGACAAAGTAGTAGATACTCCAATGCACGTCATATTTTGAATGACAACATTAAATAAAATTGTAAAAAAAAGAACCGAAGTCCGCCCAAAGCCATAGGTAGGGAGAGCGCCAGACAGAATGAAACAAGTGCTAAGGAATGTTACGACAAACGGTCGTGTGCGACTAGGATAATCTAACAGCGACAACCACGACAGTGGTACCGAGTGCTGAGAGTCGTCGGCCTTTACAGACAAGCAAAGGTTGCGTACTCGAACGTAGCTCGTGGTGGTTAACGAGGGGTTACGCTGAGATGATAGCGGTTTACAGACAGTGAGAGGCGTCACTGAAGGTACGAGTCGATGTCGAGCAGGTAGCTTTAGCGGGACAAGGAGTTCAAGGGTAAACCTAGTAAGATTAAAGTAAGGAACGTCTACTTGTAATCTTCGACCTTATATAAGGCTACTCTTCGTATCTAAGCTCAGCCTAAAGCTGGGTTCTAATCTGCTTATCTACATGAGTCAGAGATAGCGTCCATGAGGCGGGCTTCTATCGTAGATAGGGTCCATGCGGTACCCTTCTATCAGTACATGAGGCAGCACGAGGCTTGCCTTCTATCATACACGAGGCAGCACGAGGCTTGCCTTCTATCTTGATAACATAAATAGGTCTTCTAGACCTATGTCGTCATGTGTCATCATGTGCGGTCCAGACCGCTTATCCAAGCCGGCAGTTGCCGCTTATCATCTATCATCATCTATCGTCATCTATCGTCATAGAGCTGGTGAGACTCCGGTATCGTCTATAGCCGTGCGGTGGCAGAGGGCTGTCTGCTGGCAGGGGACTCATGCCATGTTACTGTAACAAGGAAGGGGGGGGGAGAGGGGGAGGAAGATGCCAAGTAGCTGGGGGAGGAGAATGAGTATCAGGAAGATCTGCTTGCTTCTGCAGAGGCACAAGACCAAGTGAAGTGCTTTCGCCAGTGTTCCTTCTCCAGTTCAACACTGATCATTCGCACAGCGACAACGCCAATGCTCGGGCTCGGTGAATTGTCTACCCATGCAGTGGGATGATCAGAAGATGATTTGATGCTCATCTGCGATTTGCTCTTGGCTCTCAAGCGCGCAAGATCGCCAAGAGCCAAGAGCCAGCTGGATCGGAAAAAATGTGGAGTCGGCTCCTGATTAGGATAGGTGTAGAAGGTTGGGGGGATGACAAGGTGGGAGCATGAGCGGCTCGCCAGTAAAGATAAGGTCAGGTGGGATGTGTGGATTAGAATAGATTTGCTGTGAGATAAGGTAAATGTTAGCTGAAAGTTGTGAGAGGGACAACAATTACTTACCTTGTGTCAATAACACCTGGAAAACTAATGATATGGGTGAGCATCAAGGGTGAGGTTGAGGGTGAGGTCAACGACGACACCAACATGCTCAGCGTGAGAACGAAACTTCAGAACTTGCCGAAATTTAAAACTCCGCTACATACTGCGTCACATATACACCAAATGGATAGGGGTTTTGATCCCCTCCACTCCCGCCCCACTATGCCTCGCAGATCTACACGCAAAGACCTTCTCAATGCTGTTAACAAGGCTGCCCTTGCCCTAGCCAAATTACAACTCCAGAATGAACTCCTAGATGATTTATCAGACTTTGACTCTGATTCTGACTCTGACTCTGGCTCTGACACCAACTCTGACTCCGACTCCGACTCCGACTCCGACTCCGACTCCGACTCCGACTCCGACTCCGACTCCGACTCCGACTCCGACTCCGACACTAACTCACTTTCTACCAATATGTCTTTCAGCTCTCCGGCCCCACCATCCTTAATGTCTTCACTCTCTGGTCTTTCTGGCTCTTCCAATTCTTCCAGATGAGATTGCCATTCATTACGATAGGCTCCAACACACTATTGCTGCTTTGCATGATGAGGTTGAGAGGGCACGTGTAATCCACAAGCCTGATGAGCCTCCACCATGAGCTCCTCAGCTTCATATGCTAGTTCACCACGAGGAACACCGCCCCAAGTTGTTTCGGCAGAAACTTCGTGTCAACCCAGAGATCTTTGATGATATCCTTGATGATATCTCTGATCACCCTATCTTTCAGAACAACTCCAATAATCCTCAGCTCCCTGTCTCCATCCAGCTTGCCATCTTTCTCAACCGTGCTGGCCATTACGGCAATGCCATTACTCTTGAGGATGTTGCTCAATGGGCAGGTGTGAGTGTCGGGTCTGTAGTCAATTGCACTAATTGTGTAATGGTTGCACTGCTCAAAGCACATGATCAGTTTATCTCCTTCCCGGAAGATAATCCTGAGGACACCCACCTTACCCAGAAATATGCTGAGGTAAAGACTTGTCCAGAGTGGAAGGGTGGTTATCTAGCTGTTGATGGCTCAACCATTGAACTTTTCACCAAACCTGGTTATTATGGGGAGGTTTTTTTTGATAGGAAATCCAACTATTCCCTTGGTTGTCAGGTAATGTTTTCTTTCTTATTTATTTTTTTCAGACAAATTAATTTAATTCTAGGCGGTTATTATGCCCCACAATCTCTTGATTGTCAATTATTCTCTTGGACATCCTGGGAGTGTCCATGATGCATTTGCCTTTCGATCCACTCACCTCTATGAAGAGCATGAAGATCTTCTTCCTGATGGTCACTGGGTTTGGGCGGATAGCGCATATCCATTGGAGCCATGGTGTATTGCCCCTTTCAAGAAACCACACAATGGTTGGTTGACAAAAGACCAGAAGACATTAAATTATCACCTATCTAAGGTTTTTTTTTTTAATTCCAATTTTTTCAACAGATTTAAATTTATTTAGATTTGTGTACGTGTTGAACACACGTTTGCTGCTTTGAAGGGGCGGTTCCAGTCTCTCTGAGAGCTCCGGTTCAAGATTCAGAAAGAGAAGGACTTGAATTTTGCTGTGCAGTGGATCAAGTGTTGTATCATCCTCCACAACATGATTATTCACTCCGAAACTCGTCATCACAAGCAGGACAGAACATACGAGAGTACTTTGAAGTGGGCTCGTGAAGAGGGTCAAGATTTCATTCCTCAAGATGTTGAGGGTCCGGATGGCAATGATGTAGTGGGTGACAGGTCTTATGAAGGAACTCCAGGACAGACTACTCATTCAAAGCTGATGGATCAGCTCTTTGACAGTCCTTATTCCAAGGCACAGCACAGGGAAGGGTGAACCATCCTTACATTGACCAAGCAGATGAGTACTACCAGTAGTATACTTGTACAAGATGTATGCAAACATATGTAAGATGAAGACAAATAAGTATCAAAATCACAACAGGACAGCAACAGAAAGCAATGGGCACATCAATGAGATAACGAGACAAGGAAGAGACGATGATGACGACATGATGACGACGACAGTGACCACAACAACCACAACAACAACGACACAATGACACAATGACCAACACAACAACCATGACCACAACAACAACGACACAACAACGACACAACGATGACACAACGATGACACGATGATGACGACAACACAATGACAACGACACGGGACTCAGGTACTTCCACCGCCACCACCCTGCATCACTTGATGATACTGAATCTGCAGATGCAGAGTCTCTGCCTCCTTGTTGAGAACTACCAAATGTGCCTCGTGCACTTGAATGTCGACTTCACGAAGGCAAATTTCAGCAGCTTTATTCTCCTGCTCTCACTGATGGTTCAGAATGGCCTGAGATGCCTCGTGTGCACGCATATCACGAAGCCAATTATATTTTTTTGTATCCTGGTGGTTTTTGCTCTTCGCCTCGAGCTTGGCAAGAAATCATTGATGCTTTGTGTCGCAGATGGACATGACGTCGGACTGGATGCTACTGATTTCCCCCGCCAGATTATCTACTTGATCCTGTACATCCGATTTTGCTTTCTTCTTCTTCATCCCGCCATCCGGTTGCGCCGATAATGACATCTGTGGGGTTGAAGATGTCGAGACTGTGTTGCGAGCTGTGGATGAAGGGGTCGACATACTGTGCGACATCAATGGAGGTTTGTGTTGCCCCCTGTGACTGCCGGCCTGGTGAGCAAACACTGAATGACTGTGGTAGGCGGCAGTAGGTGCCTTTGCAGGCACATGGAAAGGTTTTGGGTCAGGAGCGGGAGAGGGCGAAGGCGAAGGTGAAGGCGATGCAAAAATTCGCTGTTTTTTTCCTACAACTTTCGGAGGGCTGACCCCTATGCCATCCTGCATTCTGTCATCACCATCCTGCATCCCCTTGTCTTCCTGCATCCCCTCGTCATCCTGCAGATGGTCCGGTGGGGGTGAAGTATCGGCTTGGTCCATCGAAAAATTAACATCAGTGTGAGAGAGCCCACACAGGTGGACTTGAGGAGGGTGACTAGGAAGAGTAGGGCCGGGAGTATTATCAGCGAATGCAGATGGTTGTTGGAGAAGACGTGGGTCAATTGGAGGGTCATTTTGAAGGGCAGGAGCTGTGGGAATAACAGGGGGATTGTTATGATGGGGGGGCAGGAGTAGACTGGAATTGTGGATCAACTTGGGTGGGGGGGTCGCCATAGGTGGACTGAGCGTTTGCAATGCCGGAAGGCTGAGGCCGAACACGAGCGGCAGCCATACTAGATGACAGCTGGACAAGTGAGTACATTTGGCCAGCGTGATCAATGCCTGGCCTCGACAAATGTGATGTTACTGCAAATGCAGGGTTCGAGTGCCAGATTCTATCAAGGTCCGCAAACCACTTCCATTCAGAGCAGATTTCAGCTAAAAAGTACAATTAGATGACAATAAAAATCAGCAACAGATGACTCACCGAATAAATTTGCATGCCCACTACCGGGCAGTACACCAGCGCCAGTAGCACTAAATCTGGCCTTGAGCTTCTTATACTTGGTTTTGAGACTGCGAGATTTTTAGGAGTTTTATCAGCATAGACAAGTATGAATAGGAGACTACATACCCCACGATGTGGTTTGCGACTGAATTGCAAAATTTCTTCGGATTGTGATGGTATGCGGGGCCATATTTAGTGTGTTTGGCAAATATGAGTTTGGTGATGATAGCGTAGATATCGCCCTTGTCCTTGCCTGAGGCCTTTTCACCATCAGTAACAGGCATTTTTTTGCCATCAGAGTAGAACAGGATCCGACAATCAGCAGAGTTAGAGGTGAGATGATCAACAAGTACATCAGTGAGGGTGTCTTCCCTCCCCCACTGAACCGTTACCTTGGGTCCGGTGTCACTGGAAGGGATATGTTGAATATTCGAGGCGGTGTAGGACTTGGAGTCCTTGTAGCCTCATAGAGGCTATTTTTGTGGTATCCCTCAGCACCCTATTACTTTCCTACATGAAGCACAGCTTTCCCGCGAGTCGCGCATAGCGGCCGCTACTTTCCCGCGACGGCCGCAACGTTCCCGCGCGTGTGCACAGCCGCGCTTAGCGGCCGCTTTTCTTGCGCTTCATCAGCCGACGTTCCGCACCCATCCATAGTCCAAAACCAACCCAATGGTACATTGTTTCATAATTATATTTACATATCGGACCATTTTCGCATTGGACCACCTTTATTACATATAGCTTTACATACATAGCTCAGTAGCGCATCGGCTCGGTTCCGCGTGACAGCACTTAGCGCTATACTTAAGCACTAGCAGTACATACCATTCAGTAGCTTGTTTTCTGGACGTTCCAGTAGCAAACTCCCATTAGCCTACAGTTGGTAGCTATTGGTAATCAGTATCCATTTACTGCTCGCATCGTATCAGTTATCACTTGGCTCTACATCTATCTCTATTATCATCCGAACCCCTCGCGCATCGGCCGCTTCGCAGCCGCGTCTTTCCTGCGCCTTCGGCTTTCGCCCGCCGCTACATTCCCGCACTACACACGCGCACCCGCCGCTTTCCTGCGCTTCGCATTGGCCAACAAGCAGCACCTTCTGCGTCCATTTCTAGACCTTTGCTGCACTAGCTTCCCCTTTAGGGTCGAACACACTTGTTCCGCAAGTATAGCAGATAGGCAGTGCACGACCTACAACATAAAGATATCAGTTTGGAGCCTATAGCACCACTCTGGATTGTAAACCTACAGCGGATTGAGGGGGCTCCATTCCCCTCGAGAGCAGACGAGTGTTGGCTCGAACTCGTGCAGACTGGCGAGCATGTTGACGAGTAGCAGGCATTAATGTGTTTTTGAACTCCGAAGCACGATGCCAGACTGACCTTGAATTCCAGTATACCGCATGTTGTGCTTTGTTAGTCTTCAAGAGGCTTTAGCCGATGTTCAAGATTTTATTCTAAGGTTTGCTAGTGAATGGAACTTAGCCAGACATTGCTGTAATTCACACTCTCCTACTATGGAGTGAATAATTTCTTAGAAAATGAGTCCTCTAATTTTATTAAAATATTAATGTTTCTTGGAATTTCATTTCTTGCAACTAGAATGTGAATATTGGCCTTGGAGGTGAGGTCAATTAGAAAGCTCATACTGGGAGTCTCAAATCTCAAACATCAGAAAATACTAGTGCAGTTCAAAACAATTGAGTGCTCACCTCTTTTATCCAGCCAAAAGATGTAAATATATGTGCAATTGCTATCCCTGGCCCTGTAAAAGCTTTGTGGCAGCCTGTGAAAGAAGAGTGCAGGCACTTGTTGAATTAGCTTTATACTAGTTGTATGGAAACCATTAAACCACAATGGAATTTTGGGTAGTGCATTTCTGCTCTAAGATATGTGGAAGGGACAATTTTTCAATTGAAAGGGTCATATTCTTCTCATGGCCTGCTGGAGCATGTAGTGATGTTCTGGCCCGGCTTCAAGCCCCGGGCCAGCCAAAGCCGGGCCAGATTGAGCCAGGCCAAGCCCAGGCCCAGGTGACGGCCTGACCAGGGCTTTGGCCTAGGCTTCAATTCTGCGAAGCCTGAGCCGCCAGCCCAAGCCGCGGCTTAGAATTATGTAAGTACTGCGCAGGAGCCTGATTGTCAACTCTATTTTTGTCATTTTCTTGCTTCTCTTTAGTTCTTGCTTCCTAGTCCATCATACTGTAGGGTATGTCAGAATGACACAGTGAGTTGCCATTGTCGTCTTCTTTCAAAGCTCTCGCTAATACTCACCCCGGTGACGGAGAAACAGACATCACTCGCCGTATCATATTGCGCTGTTTTCAGCAATCTATGCACCTCTCAAGTCCTACTTTGTGCTGCAGCTTCGTGAGCTTGATGGATTCTTGAACAAGTTTCAGTCGTTTATAAATGGTATGTGTGTGTATTTTATCTGTGTAACTGCCTGCAATGACTGGCATGACAGGCACAGTTCTCACCGATGGTGAAGATGAGCCACGTGTTGTGCGTCCCATATGCAAAATCAAACCCACTGCTGCCCTCCTTCAACACTCAGAGAAAGTGGCTCTTCCCTCCCAAACAAAAGCTATCAATGATTTCCGTGCAGCTGAGGCCGCCAAGTGTGCTTCAGAGTGATGAGGTGTCTGACTTTGAGATGGACTAGGTCTGCTCCATGTTGCTTGTTCCGTAATTCTATTGCACTACAATATATAATGTCGCACTGATAGCAAAAGAGCCGCGGCTTCGTTTGGCTCAAGCCGTGGCTTTTGGCCGGCTTTGGCTCACGGCCTTGGCTTGAAATCTGGTGAGCCCGAGCCCCCTCAGGCCAAGCCAAAGCCAGGGGCTTTGAGCCAAAGCCGGGCTGGAACATCACTAGGAGTATGTCTCCACAGCATGATGTATTAATTAAATGATGTTGGAATTGAGCCATGAAAGACCTACTTGCCTTACTACCTTTAGTGTTAGCCAAATTGGCATGTCCATTTTATTCACACTAGTACTATGAACATCTAGGCAATTGATGATATGTCTGATTGTGTCCCAAGTATCATGGTTGCAGTGTTGATTTTGTGCTACTATTTTTCTATGTTTCTCAACAGTCCAAAAAAACATTCAGATGATATGAGGATAGAATACTGTCTGCCTACCCCATGTTTTTAGTTATTATACCTATCTAGGTGCTATTCTTGCTCATTGCATGTTGATAATTCACAAGACATAGAATTCATCTTGTTGAAATTTATATATTTGTTGATATATGCATATTGTCAACACAACAGCCTTCCTAAGTTCACCTTGGCCTGTACCTGCTGGTGACATTTAAAATTGTTAACAATTATACTAGGTCAATCTATTCAGAAAAGGTGATTTTTAATGTTTACTTATAAAGTGAGGCACTCTGGCAGGATGGATCAGCACTAAAGTAGGAATCCTAGCTCATAGTTGGTAGTTCTGTAGTGTGTTAGTACTGAATGGATAGATCCTTAGTCTCCTACTATAGAGGTCTAGCCTTGGTTTTCCTTGCAGTCTGTACCTAGTCTACTGGTGACACCAAATCATCAACAGCAGAGCAGTCAAATACTCACTATGCACTCTGTTTATATCTGGGAACAGCCTCTAAACTGTATTACATATAACTTCTGATAGCTTTGACTCATCTCTCACTACCATCATTAATCATAGGTATAACTTTAGGTATTTGATATCGCTACATTTGATTTATAGATTGGGTCAAGAGTTTCAAAGTCTTTGGAGAAGATCTTGAATGTAGTGAGTAGATTGTATAGGGATAAGCAGTGGCTTTTTACATTATACTATTTGGTAATGTGTTTTAGGTATTTATGGAGGTGGTAGGAAGTAGCCAGAGTGTTTAGGCATAATGCTATTTAATATAGTACTTGGGTTGGCGCTGGGCTTATATCCTGCCAAATTTCTTTGATAATTTGATTGTATTTTTCAATACTCCTTTGACCTTCTGAAAGCTCTGCACATCATTTCAAGTTGTCCAATGATCGTCCATCTATTTCTAAGGCCAATTTTCAATCAACAGTACTAGCACCAGTTATCTAGCATGAACCCATATTGGCTTCTATCATTAAGAAAGATCTCATATCAGCTCCAGTTATTGAGGACATACAAACAATTATCAAGAATGTCATGATATCTGATTAAAGAGGTTATTACTAACTACATTCAATGTTAGTTCTGAATATGCACTTTAATGAATCTAAGCAACCAGACCTATTCTTATCTGACTGGTATCTAAGGTTGGTTTTGACTTTGATGTATCTCTTTCTGATACTTTCCTCAGATTAGGTTTAATGAAGCCAGAGCAAAACAGAATCTTATGGTTATGGTCAAAATATTAAATGTCATCTATTGAGATCTCTAGCCTGAGGATGCTGAACCTAATAATACTTACAATATTAGTGATCTAGATCTTAGTCCTCTGCAGTCCCAGGATCAAACTTAGAATTTCACGTTTTCTACTAGTAGTTATATTTGGTGGCACTAGCACATCATCATTATAATATGGCTGAGTGCATAATAGAAAGGCTGATGTCTGAGGATGAAAGTGGATATAGGTATAAAGGCTAGACTTGCCTGATGGAGTCGATGTCATTTGGTGTAGGGCCAGAGATAAAAAAAACATAGAGTTATACATCTGGCATAATATTCTAGTTCACTATCTTTGGATTGTATCTGTAGTTAATGATACCACCTTATATTGCTTATCCCCTACCTACTGATTATTCCAATCTTACAATCTTGAAACTTTCTTGCTAGCTCTAGATATGGATTTATTTTTCCAGGTGCTGATTCCTAGTCAGTAGGAATGATAGTCCAGAAAATACCCCCTCTCCAGCACAGGGTGATGGACTTTGAGGGTTAGCTACCCTGATTTATTTCTAAAAAGACAGCTCATCTTTATTTCTGGTCATTTTATTTCAAGGAAGGGCGAGATTAGGCCTAGTTAGATCAGCTATGCATCTACCATTCATTTAGACTCAATGTTAACTCTAAATCGCAGGATATGAAGTCTAATGTTTGAGATGTTTATATCTAGGAGAAGTTGAAGTTTTGTCAAGCTTTCCCCTCTGGACAGTTTTATGACACCTCTACTTAACAGCTGAAGATTAGAAAATCCAGTATCATGCTTACTGTATAAGCAGAGTACCACTCACTAGTGGTGATACTACTGTCCAGGCTTAGACCTATAGAAGTTTCACCTATGTTTCTATCTCCTATTCTTACTGTTGCCTCTGGAAATTCCTTGGTGGAGACATAAGTTCCTCCTACTGTAGATTCTGATTCAAAAATAAAGGAAATTATGATCACTATGGAATTAGAGGGCAAAATGCAGACATTTGTTTTGAGGTTTTTTTCTCTGCATATACCTAATGGATCTAAGACATGATTGCATGATAGGGTGGACATTAACTCCAGATGTAACTTATAATAGAGTCAATAATATATCACCCAAGGACTAATAAGAATAATATACTATGGCTTATCTTGCTACTTAGCTTAAATTTTTACATGATTATTTTGCTCACTAATCAATTAGATTTGTATTTCATTTAAGCAATCCAATGAAGGATTTCTTGTTTCTCATATTCTTATATGATTTACATAGGAGAAAACATCATTTTGTGAATCATTATACACTTTCAGTGATGATTATTATGACATCATGAATCTCCATTATGAAGAAAAATTTAATATGACCTGTATGGTAGGCAGTCCAATTCAGCATCACTCATTGTTCACATTGTTATATAATTGATACAGGAACAAATATCACTTTTCAAATCATCACTAACCTCTGATAATGATAGTTATGACACTATTGATATATTGACCACTTTATAGCTGGATGTGCCTTAAATAATCAGTATTGAAAATATGGTAAAGCAGGATACAGACCTATGTGGTCCTCTGCTGCTTATGTCTAGACTACATAAGCATAGTACAGCCAGGCCACATATGCTTATCCACAATACAAGCCATACTGATTCTCCTAAGTTCAAAAAGGGATGTCCTGTAGTATTTGCTACCAACAGGGCAGTGCACATGGGAAAGTTAAAAGTCGTGAATTCAAAATCTAAAATGGAAAAATATACTTTAATAACCTCATTCATGAGTGCCATACTGCTAAACTAGCCACAAGAGCCATAGTGGGTGAGACATCTGTGTATGGTGTATTACAAAGAATCTATGTGACTATATTCACCTCTCCATATGGCAAAAATTTCATGAAAGAATGGATTTCATAATTCAGAGTTCTGACAATGGGAATAATATAACCACAATGCTTCAATATTTGTTACACTCTTCCCAACCTCATGACAAGAATCTATATGCACCAGGACTTCAAGGTCTTGCATCAGTTGTCAAGGGTGTGAATAGTGCTGTGCAAAGTCCGGCCTGAAGCCCTAGGCTGAGCTAAGCTGGGTCTATAATAGTTAACAATGACAAATTACTGTAGCTTCTGGTGTCAGTTCTGTTGTTGCTTCTGTTGATATAATTGTCTTCAGAGTTTGAAAATTATATTTGACTATTGCTGCAATCCCTTTAAGCTGGTATATACTTTGGCTTCAATAATGTTTTAATTTCTGTCTGATCAACCTTTATTACTGTACTGCAAACACCTATTTTATTTTATAAGTATAACTTAGAATAGCTAGAGTGATGTGAGGATCTATATACATTAATTTGCACAAATGACCCTGAGGCTTACGCTGCTGCTACTAAATTTTTCAAACTGCTGATTCAATGGCAGAAACTAGTAAAATTTGTATGTTCATCACAGCACTGAGAGTGGTGAAGTGATCTCTAAATACTATTTTAGGAAAGGCAGAACAATATTAATATATTTCTGTTGGCCTAATTGTTTTATGCTAAATCTCCTCCAAAGAGCAATGCAGATATCTGTTTCTTTGTGAAGCTAATAGATCTCAAACATTTTTGGGATTAGGCCAGTAAACTAGGTAAATATTGACATCTAACATTCTATCATTGTGGGGCCTATGATCTATATCACAACTGTTTTCCTATGCTGAGATCTCATTGCTACATTATCTATATCACTGTTTCTTCCAAATCCTACTTTAGATTTTTGCAACATGTCATATATGTCCTATGATATATATTATATTCCAAACACTTCATTAAAGGAACCACAGCAAAATTTCTTCCAGGTCCAAATATATGTATCTTCTGTATGAAGCCTTTTTTAATGAGGTCTACAACCAATTCTATCTATCTTTGGATGATAGTTGGAGCTAGGACATATCCTCATGCAATAGGATAATATGTTAATAGTTCTTTAGTATCTTGTTCTCATGAACACAAGTTATATATCATACTTGCAACATATGTCTCTGAAATTCACTCTAGTTGATACCAGAGAAAGATGATGAGCCAACTGTGTCTATAATTCTAGGTGAGCATCTAATTTCGTTAGCATGCCTCTATTATAAGTAGGAGCACAGGTTGGGTAGGTTGATTGGTATCACCTAATATGGTAAATATAAAAAAGGAGGCCAGCAAAGTGGAAACAATCCTGATCTATTGGTAGAAACAGATGAGAAAATTTGACACAAGTGCCTAGAGATCACCCTAGCACTATTAGTAGACAATCTCATAATCTCTTTCTTTGTAGGAGTATGCAGATCTGTAGTGGCTGGTTATAGCCTTTTCTTTATTGGTTGCACATAACTATATACTACAGGCTGATATTTTCCTCTCATTTATTTGTAACACTGTCCTAGCATAACTGTTTTTCTTTACTTTATCAAAGTGAGATCAGCCTGGTGAGCTTAGGACCTATCAAACTCATATTTATGTCTCTCCCATTTTCTCATGAAGACAACTAGATAATTAAAAATATTTTCATTTTGCAGGTACTGTTGTCACAACCCCTATAACGAATAAACACAAGGGCAGAGACTAGGACTCAAACACAAGATAATCACGATGAAGAATAGATGATATTGAGCAGGTATGTCCAGGCTGATACCCAATATATAGACAGGAGGTTTGAACTAAAGAACTACTAACTACAACTGAGCTACCTATATACATATATTGAAATGGAGATTGAAACTGAGTCTTAAACTAACTACCAATCAAAATAATTAAAGGTATCGTACGATTCTATATATAACTATGATATCATAACATGTGCCACAGCCGCAGTAAGACTCTGGAACATTCCAAGAGTGTCACGTGTCATGATGTCATTAAGTCCGGATTCTTCCATAAGGTCACGTGACATAGTAATAGTTGATTCTGGTATTTCTACAATAGATGCTGTCATTGGCATATCTTCAACTATGAACACTTTCTTAGACGTAGACGCCATAGCAGGGCACTTAAAGGATTTAGAATTAAGGAAAGAATAATGGTTCATATGAGGTACTCATGACAACTGTCTATATTCTATACAAAAGGACAGTAGCCTAACAGGAGAAATAGCTGATGCTAAATGGAATATATAACATTAGGATGTGAAGTACTACTACATGAATGTGTGAGAAGCAAAAAAACTGTATTTGATTAGAGGACAAATTGAATGAAAAAATCATGGATACTAATATAGAAGATTTTTTAAGTATCATGACAATAAGATCTAGCCAAGTGTACATTCTAGAAGAGGTATCTTAGTAGGCTCTAGATAAATCATAAACCACCATGATATAATACATGAAGCTGGTCTAGCAGCCTCAAAATAAAATTCTGTATCTATACATCCAGGCCACTGTAACTCTCAAAGTTCATTTAAACAGCAAGGTCTTGGATATCATGCTCAGAATCTGTGGATGCTCAATTATCTTTTTTAGACTGGGCTAAACAATGAAAACTAGTATCT